CCTCTTTGTTTCGTCTCTCTCACTGTCTCAATTCAGTTCAGTGCTTTAGTGGCACGGCTGCTTCCAAGCAACTCTGATAACAATAAGAAGAAGATACGGCAGCACATAATGCAAGTGATAGTAGACAAACAGATTCAAACACATACATCTTTGATAAATCGCAGTTTCCATCCAGCAATTGAGGAATTAGCTTTGTTCTGTGAATACACTGTAAAAACTGTTCTCTAAGTCAGTAGAAACATCTTAAATGTGGTCAACATGTGTAATACAGCTCATTATGAGATTGCTGTGAGAATTTGATGACTATTTAATTTATTTCTAGACATGTTAATTTGTTATCAGCGAGTCAAAAATCTAAAATAAACCATTATTTCAACATAATCACTGAAACGCTTGACAATATTGTTTCGACATGGGAAAACAGGCCATTATCTCAACATGATCCGTTGAAATCATAAGAAAATAAACCATTATTTTGACACAATCAGTTAAAATCTTGCAAAAATAGGCTATTATTTCAAAATGATTTGTCAAAATTTTAAGAAAATAAACCATTTTTTTTTGACAGTTGTTTAGAATCTTGAGAAAATAGGTCATTATTTTGACAGGATCAGTCAAAAATCTAAAAGTAAGCCACTATTTCAGCATAGTCAGTGAAACACTTGAGAATATTATTTTGACATGATCAGTCAAAATTTTGAGAAAATAGGCCATTATTTCAACATAACCCATCAAAATCTCGAAAAAAAATAAAACATTATATTGATATAATCATTTGAAATCTTGAGAAAATAAATGATTATTTCAATATGACTCAAAATCTTGAGAAAATAATAATAATAATCAGTTAAGATCTCAAGAAAATAAACCTTTATCAAGACAATCTTGAGTACGAATTGTTTGGGGATAAAAAGTCAAACATATAACGCACTGCAGTCAGAAACAGAGAGGAGAAATGTCTCTTCTCAACCTGGAGAGAATGGGCTTCCGAATAAATCTACTCTTCTGCAATGTGGTGTTCAAAACGACCTCCGTCTCAAGTGACAGTGTTGTTGTACAGGAAAGTGACAAATTACATAAAAAATATAACTTTGTAAACGAGTGCTTACTGAGTTATTTCCTTTGGACGTCACATTTTCGTTCCAATAAAAATTACACATTTGCTCCCCCTCTCCCCCTCTAATAAAAGTGGAGGTGCACCTGCTCCCCTCACTCCATTGCTTAGGAGCCTATGAGTGTGACTGCGGCTTTGATAATTTGATGAAAACGCATTTAAGCATTTAATTTTTACGAAACGTGCAAAAAGTTGGTGAATTCTTAGGGGTCCAAGCACTGTAGGTGCTGTAACCTTATTGCTTTTGCTAGTTAGGGGTCCAAGCACCATAGGTGCTCGCAATTTTTTTTGCTTTACTTGAGTATTTTGTTTACTCTAATTTGGCTTTGGTTAGATATGCTGCTTTTGTCAGTATCTCTCCTCACTCCTCTGCATTGCCTCCTTTGCCATTTTCTTTCTTTTTTATCGTAGGTTCTCTGCGTTCTTACACAATCTGTCTTAATCTGAGCATGTAAACAAACCTCAGACTGCATTGGCTCCAATCTGAAGCATGCTTCCTTCCCATTTTAGCTGTTCCACATTAATTATTTAAATGTTGCCTTCCCCTCTCCTGCCTCATCTTCCTCACCCCTTGTCGGCGCGCTCTGCTCATTCCAGATTGAATGTGCCTCTATAAATAGACTCTGAGGAGTTTGCCGGCCGTAATCATGGTCCCGCATTGATGGAGTGGGGGAGATTGGCCTTGTTGCTATTGCATTCGAAATTGCCCAATCACTGCAGTCAACAGGTGCTGCAGGAAGAGGCCAGTCTGTGCTATTTTTATCACTTACTGCGCAAAGGTGGGGTAGCGAGACAACTGTCGGGGTCTTAACATGAACAGTTATACTCCAAATGCAAACAGACACAAATATGTGTCTCAGAGACCACCCTTCGTTTATTTCATTTCCAGCCAAAAAGCCATTAATTACAAGTTATTCAAGCGATATTTCTGTGGACCACCTCAGATGCCCTGGTAGACCACCAAAACTTTTCCCATTAGATAAACAGTACTTTCATCTTTGAGAGAGAGCAGAAAATCAAGCTGCAACAATCCACAGGTGTTTCTGTCCATCCTTCCACTGTGAGAGGACAACTCAGCACTATGAGTCTGAAAGGATGTGTAGCTGTCAAGAAGCCTCACTGAGAAAAGACAGACAGATCAAATAAAGAAGCTGCTGGTGTTCTCAGACAAATGAACTGACCGCCCCAGAGTCCCAACCTCAACATCACTAAGAGCGTTTGGTATTGCTTGGAGTGTGATAAGCAGAAAATGCAACCAACTTTTAAGACTAAACTTTGAAAAACATTGAACTTTGAAGCTGTAATAAAGGTAAAGTGTTCCTATGGTTCTATATAGAACCATAAACACTCAAAGAACCCTCTGAATGCATGAATGGTTCTTTGCATGGTTGAAAGGTTCCTCTTTATGACAGGAAAGCAGTTCTATGTAATTTGTAAAGAAACTCTTTTAAAATGGTTCTATGTATAACCAAAAAGGGTTCCACTTTTGTTACAAGTCAAACAACCTTTATATATACACCGATCAGGCATAACATTATGACCACCTCCTCGTTTCTACGCTCATTGTCCATTTTATCAGCTCCACTTACTATATAGGTGCACTTTGTAGTTCTACAGTTACAGACTGTAGTCCATCTGTTTCTCTGCATACTTTGTTAGCCCCCTTTTACTCTGTTCTTCAGTGGTCAGGACCCCCACGGACTCTCACAGAGTAGGTACTATTTGGATGGTGGATCATTCTCAGCACTGCAGTAACACTGACGTGGTGGTGGTGTGTTAGTGTGTGTTGCGCTGCTACGAGTGGATCAGACACAGCAGTAAGTGGAGCTGATAAAATAGACATTGAGCGTAGAAACAAGGTGGTGGTCATAATGTTATGCCTAATCGGTGTATATATATATATATATATATATATATATATATATATATATATATATATATATATATATATATATGACTGAACATTTTTAGATTATATTTAGTTGTTGCAGTTTCTGAGTAATTTTCTGTTAAATACATGTTTCTTCTAATATAGTTTTGCACATTATTGTACATGTAAATTTCTATACATCATACAAATTTTCTGTATCTAACCCTAAATCTTACCCTATCTTCAACCCCTTTAACCAAAACCAAATGATTTTTATAGTCAGGACCAATTTTCCACTCCTGACATTGTACATTTGCCATGGTTTCCATATTTTTTTGTTGTGAAAATACACAAAACCAATATAAACACACAAATACACATACATACACCTGCACGCACAAGCACATGAGGATGTACATTCATCTGGTGGGGGGTTGTGTGTATAAGCGAGCATCTGCCTTTATTGTTTGTGACACCTTGTTATGAGGTATGTATTCCAGACAGTAGAAACAGCATTATGCGGTCACGGTGTCAGTGTTACAGAGTGTGCGTGTGGCTGCTTTTCGACACTGAGGGATTAGTCCAGCCTTTATGATGTTCTAACCCTACTGCATGCTGTTGCCTTCACATGAGTCATTGCCAGAACTGTTTTGCTTCAGACTCCATTAGATCACTCCCGTCCCATAAACACAATCATATCTCTGAGCTGAGCAGCAGGGTATCCATCAAATGTCAGAGAAGGAATTTCAAATCAGGAGCACAAATACATTATAGAAAGTGTCAAGATAACCCTGCCTGTGCAGAGAAACAGGCAGTGCTTTGTACAAAAATGAGTAAAAAAGAGCTCATTCTTCTCGTGAACAATTTTTCCTTCTGAAGTTTAGAAGTTTAGAAGTTTAGTATTTTCAGTATTTTATCAGTCTAAGACCACTGGACATGTTTATCAAGCTTCTGGAAGTAAGTACGCTGATTTAAGATTAGATTTCCCAATTTATATGATCATATTTGACAAAAGATGACTAATGACTAATTGATACTACAGGGATTTTTTTTCGTAAATATTTGTGTAATGCATGCTGGGTATTGTAGTGAGAGAACATCGGGCCTTTCATTTTAAGAACTGTTGGTGAATGAGGTGGGTGAAAACAACACAAATAATATGTGTTTATATTACATAACATTATGACCACCTCTTTGTTTCTACACTCATTGTCCATTTTATCAGCTCCACTTACTATATAGGTGCACTTTGTAGTTCTACAGTTACAGACTGTAGTCCATCTGTTTCTCTGCATACTTTGTTAGCCCCCTTTTACCCTGTTCTTCAGTGGTCAGGACCCCCATGGACCCTCACAGAGCAGGTACTATTTGGGTGGTGGATCATTCTCAGCACTGCAGTAAAACTGATGTGGTGGTGGTGTGTTAGTGTGTGTTGCGCTGGTCTGAGTGGATCAGACACAGCAGTGCTGCTGGAGTTTTTAAACACCTCAGTGTCACTGCTGGACTGAGAATAGCCCATTAACCAAAAATATCCAGTCAACAGCGTCCTGTGGGCAGCGTCCTGTGACCACTGATGAAGGACTAGAGGATGACCAACACAAACTGTGCAGCAGCAGATGAGCTATCGTCTCTGACTTTACATCTACAAGTTGGACCAACAACGCAGGTGCGTCTAATAGAGTGGGCAGTGAGTGGACAGTGTTTAAAAACTCCAGCAGCACTGCTGTGTCTGATCCACTCGTACCAGCACAACAAGCTAATTTTAGGCTAGAATGTCTCTTTAAATAATTGTAGTATACTTTGTAGCGTATAATAACGTCTTCTTGTTCTTAAAGTACTTGAAATATTAAATGAAGCATCCAAAAATACCTCTTTGGGGATTCATTTGCTACACTTAAATTTATACTGTGCAAGTTATTATTGTATATGACAACAAAAAAATATTAATATGACTTCTGTAGTACATGGTTGTGTTTGTTGTACTGTTCTGATGAAAGGATGCAGCAGGAAACTGACCTGTGCTGGTGAGTACAGCTTCCTGTGGTTATGCGATTCATGGCCTCCTCTCTGAGGTGTGTATCCGCTCTGGCTGGCATGGACGTGAGCCCCCACCATGGCTGCGTGTCTGCCTCCACACTCAACTCCTCCTGGTCTCTCCTGGACTCCACCACCTCCACTACTAGCTCCACCACCTCCACCTCCACCTCCTCCTCCACTCGTGACGCCCAGTCCAGGCCCAGCGGCGGCCGCCAGTCCCCCCAGACAGCACAGCCCACCCTGAGCCAGCTCCAGCTCAATCTCCGCATCCATCTCTGCATCCTCCTGAGCTTCTTTGTTGGAGTCGTCCAGGTGCTTCATCAGCACGGCCACCACCACATTGATGAGCACGAACTGGGCGGTCAGCACAAAGCTGACAAAGTACATGGGGGAGATGAACTGCAGGCTGGCATTGCAGGAGTAGGTGTCGCCCGGGGGGCACTCACGCAAGGTATCCTGGGAGGAAATACAGAGTTGAAAAAAGTTACTAGGGCTGTCAAACGATTGATCGCGACTAATCGTGTTATTTTGTGTAGTTAATCACGATTAATCGCATTTGAAACATTTCTTCCATTCATTTTTTAGGTTCATTCCATTTTGTTATGCCCATATGAGTGGATAAAATAAGATTCATCAGAATGCATTTATTTCTATTACTACTTCATGAACACTAGTTTTATCGAGTTTACATGAACTTGAACATGAAAATCACATGATTTCTATGAGAGGAACAGTGGCTGCAACCAGTGAGTGTATATATCATATACATCATACATACAGTCAATGATTCCAACTCTTCCGCGATTGTAGCCTCGTGCTCTCATCATACAGCATGTGGAGCAGTTTGCTACTCATTGATTTGTGTATGGGTTTCCTGCGAGCACTGTCCAGTGTTTTAAAGGTGTACTTTAAAAGCCTTTCAAAGGCTGTATTTGAATGAGAGAGCTACAATCGCGGATTCTATAGCAACATGCAAGCAGCTGGGCGTCAGCCTGCAGCCATACACATGGTTCAAAATGTCAAATTAAGGAAATCTTCAGCTGTGTTTAAAAAAAAAAAAATGAGTGCCATTATTAATGTATCCCATTAAAAGAATAGATTATTGAAAAATCGAATTTACATGATTTTCTGCTTACCCCAAATGCAGTCAATCAGCTGAGACATGTTCAGATTAGAACAGCAGCTATGTGGCTAACACTGCCAATAAACACTGGAAGTCAATAGTCACCCAAACTCTTTCCAAACATACATCCCCAAATCCCCTATCAACCCACTCAAACCAAATCCAGGTCTTTATTTAGGTCGTGCAGATAAGTCGATGTGGTTTAGAACACTGTATGACTTATTATGAACTATGAAAATTAAAAAAAAATCTGCTACAGAGAAGAAGCAGCCACTTATGACAACACTTTTGATTATGAATTCAAGGACCACATTTTCTGCACAAATGAGTCTGAACCTGAATAGACATATGGAATGCATCAGTTGGATGGTGGACCCACCAGTGGCTCCACAGACCATCCCTTAGTCCTAAACCAAAGTAGCAAAAATTTTGACACCAAGCACGTCTCAACTGACCAGGTGCATTTGTGGTGAGTCAAAAATCATGTCAATTTGATTTTTTTCTCCAAACTACTCATTTAATGTTTATTATTGTCGTTAATGTGTTAACTAAGAACATATGGATGAAAAACTGAGAGGAATGAAAACTCAAGCAGGGAATCCATCCTCCAGTGGACCGCACCGGACAGTGCATTAGGATACAAATAGGGAAAGGGTTAAACAGAGGGTTAAACAGAGACATTTGGATCATACAGAGGAAATACCTGTGAGATAAGCCTGTGACTAAATAATGAATCAATGAGAAAAACACAATAAGTGGCCCATATCATTTGTGTGGAATTACCATGAAATAGTTTTAGCCACTATTTATGTGACCTCTTTTTATCCACTAGAACCAAACAGGCCTCTTTGGTTACTCTGCCTTTCAAAGTGATATGTAAATCATTCTAGATCTGACTGGCTGCCCTATATTGTGCCCCATCCAAAAAGCAATCTGGGCTGAAACACTCCTGATCACATCAACGTGAAATGGTAATCTATTCTGTTGTAGGCCGAATAAGTGGATGCAAGGAATTGTTTTGGATTTTGTGACATTATAAAAACTATACCTTTTTTTTCAGCTTAGTTTCAATATATGGACTCATACACACATTAAACACTGTCCTTTTTTTGATGGGCCCTTTAGGCATATAGTTATCCATTGCTTATGTGATTTCTAGTTATGTAATGAGATCTTTCACCCATGTTGCATCATATTGTGATTTTTTGTTTTACACAATCGACATTTAATAAACAGACTTCATTCTCGGGATGAAAAGGATACTCACTCATTAGAGACCAGTCTACACTGAGCTCACACTTTCTTTGACATACTGAGTGGCTGAGGTACACTTACTATGCTTTAATGGAAGGTTGACTTGTAATTGTAATTCACCTTCATGATCCCGTTCCAGTTGTCACCAGTAGAAACCTGGAACAGCGTCAGGAAGGCCATGCCGAAGTTCTCGAATGTAGCGTGCCGACTCATCCCCTCGCATGGATGGTCTGCATTACACACTTCAAAGGGACATATTAAGGAGAAAGTGTAAGAGAAAGATGGGAGACCTTCTTGAACAAGTAGAAAAAGATATTCTTAAAGACCTTCTGCAGTCAAAAATGTGATTTTTGCATGGCTAACTCCCCTTAGATGGTTTATAATGACTATTCAGCCTAATGTTTGTATAGAATGTATTACTGTAGCATTCAAGAAATCAAACTTTTCCAATTAAAACATATTTCTATGTAAAAACAGTGATTCATGAGGCGCTACTATGAACGTTTCATGGTAATGAGAGGATGTGCAAAGCCCTGACAAGAGTTGCATGCGGCCAGGGTCTGAGCTCCAAGCGCCGACAATGAGCCCTGCTGCTGATGCAAACACAGCATCAGCTGGTTCTCATTAAGGGCAGCATGAGCACCTGAGTCGAGAGGTAGAGAACTTGCTCCTCCTTTCGCTGCCCCAGCACTCATGTCCCATGGCATCACCACTAGGGTCAAACGAGAGGCATGGTCTGGCAGCTCTGCTGATAGATATTAGCACTAGCAGCTCACGTTACCTTACAGTGAAGGTCTAAACAGCTTTATACACAACCATTCAGTTCATTTTGGCTGAAGCTTCATTGGCACAGGTTTAGTGAATAAAGACTGGAATTTGAATGGGTAAACCTGTGCATTTAAGTGTGGGGCTGTTAGCTTAAACTACTTTTACTTCGTATCCTTGCTAGCACCAGAGCCTTTAGTTTAATGAGAAGGCTAAACCATCAGTAATTCTGGCACACAGATGCTGCACTGAGGCAAGTGTAGAGAATAAAGAGTCACACTGGAGTGAGTGAAATCGACGAATATAAAGACAGAATCTTAAGGATTATTGGGTTGTTTCAGCTCAGTCTCACCTGCTTAAACACAAAGACAGCGTGAAGGGTAGTGAGGGGAAGGGCAGGTTTAGAAACGACACAGCCAGGGAGCGTTTAAAATTTGCATAATTGTGCATATTCATAGATCTCATTTATAATGAAAGTTAAGGTTTAGGGATGCTCCTGTGCCATTTTTAGTAGTTTCTTGGGCATAACAATAATACATAAGATTATGTGACAATGTATCATTCAACATGATTCAACATGATGTTTGGCATTTCAATTCAGGATTTTAGGACACTTTAAGATACTGAACCCTTATGAATAGGAAACAGTTAGGGAGATGGATTTTATTCAGTGAAGTTTTGATCTAGAATGAATGTGTGTGCTTATAGTCAATATTGCAGTGAACCTTGGCTATAATCAGCTCCATAATTATTTGGAAAAGATGGGTGAAGAAAATATCATGAAAATATGTCTGTGGTTAATTAGCTCAATCTCACACTGAAAGTATGTGAACAAATCTTTAATCAAAGCAAATTTGGTCTAAAAAAATAAAACTCAGTAAAACAAATAAACAAACAAACAGACAAACAAACAAACAGAACATCAGAATCTCTCCAGATCCTCCAAGCTCTATTGTTGTCTTATCTGACCACAGAGCCCGGTTCCAGTGAAAGTTCCAGCAGTATCTAAGAGGCACTTACAATTATGGCTGAATAAGTGTAGTTTTTGAGATTTTGTGACCACAAAATGCTTCCAGCTTGTGCAAATCTCCAACCTGATCCTTGCATGCATCCTCATCAAGGCAGTTTCACTACAGCTCTGGTTGTTTAAAACTTATAATTATTGCCTTAACAGTAGATATGGCTGGTTTCAGTTGAATAGCTACTTTTTTAGAGTCATTATCTCGTTTATGTAGGTCAACACGCTTTTGTCTCATTTGATTTGTGTATTCTTAATCCTCCCCATGATGATGAATGAAGCGAAACTGGCATCTGTGTCACCTCATATTTATAACACAGTCAAACAATAAGTCATGAATGATGACTTAAACTTTTAACACTCAGGTGAGAAAATATATGTGTAATACAAGTGGGTTTATACCTCTGTTACCTTTTGTTCATAAGACACTGAGTTTTTTTAGACTTCAATTAAAGCTCAGATTTGTTTCACACATTTTCAGTGTGATACTGAATTAATTAACCACAAAGACATATTTCTCATCACCTGTTTTGCCCATCTTTAACAATGATGGCTGTCAATAAGGCTATCAGAGTTATAATGCAGTACTCAATGCCATCAGGTTGAACAGCTGTTGTTTATATTGAGTTTTTCTTACCCAGTTCTCCAAACAGCTCCACACCCAGAGCAGCGTAGATGAAGAACAGCAGCATAAACAGCAGACCCAAATTCCCCACCTGCAGAACACAGTCAATCAGCACGCTATTAGCTAATTACTGTAATCAAAGGAATTCTGCCTTAGCCAGTGTAAGCGCAACATTCACAACAAATATGGTGCAAGCGAATAATGACTCATAAATTAGTAAACAAAGAAACAAATGTCAACAATTTACTAAAAGAGAAAACAAAAGACGTAACATGACAAAAATGTTCTGCAAACCAGAAATAACAGGGCTGATCTACAAAGCCAGGACCTGCAATGTTCTTATTTATTTATTTATTTATTTATTTATTTATTTATTTATTTAAGCAAATTTGGCAAGGGCATTTTCACATCTTTATCAGTTTCATTTTTTAAACATACCTTTGTTTATGCTCATAAACACGTATGTTTTTGTTCATAATTATAAGTACAAAGTCAAAAGACATTATCTATGTAAATCTGAAAGTATATTAAATAACAAAAACAATAGTGTCTGAATAATTGCTTCCCCTCACTGTATGTACAACTATACACATTTCACCAATAATTTTTGGTTGTTTGGTATTATGGGACTGCCAAGGTAGGGAGGCTAGAGCTCATGTTGAGCGCTACGTCAGTTCCATCAGAAATACGGGGAACCCATCTGCTCTAACAGCAGGGAAGGGGACATTTTAACAAGATCAAATGGAGATCAGATACAACTGTTGCAAATATTGGCAAAACCATGTGGATACACACGGCATCCGAACCCATACAATGGACTCTCAGGGTTACTACATTACAGCAAATTATATTAACATAATGCTTGCACAGATATAAACCATTGAGCGTGTTGCTCTATAAACAAAATCAAAGCACCTAATCACCCACCAGGACGTCTATTTGTTGGTATTAAATATGATTCACAGTATAGACCTGATGTGGATGTTACCAAAAAAATCTTTCACAGTCACAAAGATTGCCTATGTTTTAACCGTTTGTCCTTGAAATGGCGTGACAAATACAAACCTTTCTAGCCCCCCTCAGTATGGGTTCACCATACAGTAGACAGACGTATAGATATATTACCACAGACATTACCACAAGTTTTTATTCAATACAACAGCACACAACACAACACCCACACTGGATGCACTGGATGCATGCACCCAAGTGGAACCTAGGAACCCCTCAACTTCAGATTTCAGGACTGTTTAACTAAATTCAAAGTAAATTGAAAGCAGAAAAGACCTATGTGTGCTTGTTTAAGGGTGGAGTTTTTATTTTATATTTTTGTTTACATATTTTCAAAATTTCCAATAACCAATAATCATGCGCTTATTAACTTAACGCTACATTTTCATTACAGTGAGGGAGATAACTCCTCGCATTTCACATCTATTGCTAGACACTTAGGGGACATATCACCAAAACTCATGCAATATAATGACATAATACTATTTTACACTTTAAACAATCCTCTAATGTGATGATGGCATATAGTGAACATTCACAAATCTATTACTACAAAGTCTGAGGATCCTACAGGTTAACCATGATAATATGTTCTGGAGCGTGAAATATTTGAACCCACAGTGAGTTCAGATGCCATTTCTCAAATACAGGGTGTTTCAAAAAGATTCATCCGATTTCAAAATGATTCATTTTACTTGTTAATCATTACAGAACAATGCAGTAAATTGTAAATGGCTTAAGTGAGCATAAAGTTTATTATGTAATTTTAGAAGTGCTCAGTATGAACCTCCTCCAACTGTACGGACAACAACAACGCCATAGTCAAATTCATCCCATACTCAATTGATGTCGGTGTCACTGCACTCACGGCTCTTTCAGTGCGATTTCGGAGATCATCCAGTGGTGTGGAACCAACCACGAACGCTCTGAGCTGTTGGAGCTTCACTGCCCACGAAAATCACGTTGCACAGTTATGATGGATTCACTCTTATTAAAGTGGAGAATGCAAAATGCTTTCTGCTCAGGGGTCTCCATCTCCTCTCAGACTGAAGGGAGCCATCTTCTGGTGACAGTCAGAAACTCTATGACCCCCTCTTTTAATTGGAATGTGATTGGTTTCTAGGCGCCTCACAGTTGTAAAACTATGGCGCTTTGAAATCGGATGAATTGTTTTGAATCACCCTGTACAACTGTATGCAAAAGTTTGAACACCCCTGATCAAATTACATGTTTTGTTGATTGAAAATAAATTAACACAGCCTCTGCTTTTAACCTTAAATATAGCCTTGTTTTTGCTAATTTTAGGGCACAATTTAATTTAGGGCACTGAGTTTAACATATTGGGAAAATAATACTTAAAATATAAAATGTCCCATAACTTTTGCACAAGCCACATTTTATGTTGTATTTTCTTCTGATACGTTAAATTCAGCCAAAAACAATACTTGTAGAGGATGTGTTAACATATTTTCACTTCTCACAGCTCACCTCCCACTTTTCACAGATTTTCCCCTGATTAAGATTTTCTCTTTATTTTCAATCCCTCAAAGCAGGTTTGATTCAGTTGAGTACAGTTAAATACTGGCCTAAAATATTTTCTATATTGCATGTTCTGTTTAGGACTAAACAGATGAAGGCTAACATTTGACATTTGCAATAGCAGCACTGCACAGCATGGGAATAGTACATAATGGAAGGTTTATCCAGACTAAGTGTTGCTTAGAAACGCTGATGAATATATATAGGAATTTTCATTTACACATATATAACGAATGAAAACTCTAAATATATGAAATGACTCACTCATTATTTAGGATTGCTGCTACTAGATTTCATGTTGAGTCATAGTGAAAAAAAGATGGTTAATTATTATATATAATAATTATATGTATCGCAGTTTGTGTGATGAGACGGTTCGGGTCAATTTTGGACAGAATTTTGCTAAGCTTAGATCAGTTTCATATTCAAAACTTGAAGTGGTTTGGACAACATTTAGTCTGGCTCAGGTCGGATTTGGACTCAAAACCTGGTGCTGTTGGATAGAAAGTTCTTGGGCTGTATTCAGGTTTGGGCCAAAATTTTAGGACCTATTAATATGCACTAACTGAAAGAGTTCCATGACTTAGCATCTAATCTCAAGATTTATTCCAATACAACTTCCATTTAATGTCCATTTGATTATGGACTAAATATCCTCAGACATACAAACCAACAAACCACAGCACTCTTAATTCTCGCTGGTCTCGTTGGGAATAAAAGACAAAAGAAACTGCATAGGGCAGCTCAGCTGATGTGCTTTCTGGGAGCAAAGCCATGGAACTGGGAGTTTATAGGAGCTGTTTGCTTTCTTTAGATGAGCTATAAGAGCTTCACAGGAATGAGAATGCTGCAAATTAACTTTCAGCAGTTTACAGCACACTAAAAGGAAACAGCTCTGAGTGGGTGTGCTATAGCTACAATGGCATTATCACAAGATTATAAAACTTTCTCATCTAATACACCCACCGACAACCTACTTTTCCCCCCTCGGAAAGTAAATCAAACGGCTTTAACGAAAATTTAACCTTCAAAGTGATTACATGAAATAGCATGTTTAATGAAGGGCAGTGGCGTGCATGTCATTACTGAAATCGGTCATCTCTGCCCTTCCAACGGCAGAAAGTGATAGATCTCCTCAATTACCCTCTCTCTGTTCATTTGTCCTTGTGATAAGGCCACAGCACGGGACTGGACGTGGAGAGTGTGGTCCTGGATTGGTGGCCGTAATGACATGGGTCAGTATTCATCCATGACAGGAGAATGATATTATCAGAGATGAGCTCAGCACTATTCGTCTTATTCTAATTAGCTGTACCTCACCAGGCATGTGCACTTGTGTTAATGGAAGTCTGTCACTTTCAAACATAGGCTTGCTGATGTTGATGGGTTTTTTCTGCGTGATTTGTCAAGGTAAAGTTAAAAATGTGTTCTGACCTAAAACTAAGGCCAGAAAGTTGATTATATATCTGGCCTAAAGTTGATTATATTATTCACAGGAGTCTTATAGAGCAGTATTGTGTCCCTCAGCCTCATCGATTTAAAGGAACTCCTTATAATTAAACTGCTCAATGTCACCAAGAACAAGGAGATGTTGCTGGACTTCTGGAGGAAGAAGAGCATGATCAGTCCTGTTACCATCATAGGTCAGTACGCTGAGCTAGTAGACACCTGCAAACATCTGGGTGTCCTAACTGACAACAAACTGGACTGGAGGGTCAACACAGAAGCTGAGTACAGGAAGACTCTACTTTCTGAGAAGGCTCAGGTCCTTTAATGTGTGTAGCAAGATGTTGGTGATCTTCTACCAGTCTGTTGTTGTGGGGGCCCTCTTCTTTGCAGCAGTCTGCTGGGGTGGCAGCCTCAGAGGGGGAGATGCAAAAAAGCTCTACAAACTGATCAAGAAGGCTGGCTCAGTCTTGGGCTGCTCACTGGGTGGTTTTGAGCTGGTGGTTGAAAGGAGGTCACTTAAAAAACTCACTGCTATCCTGGACAATACATCACACCCCCTCAAAGACCTACTGGTCAGACAGCAGAGCACCTTCAGCAACAGACTCATTCAGCTCCACTGTAGTGAGGAATGGTACAGGAGATCCTTTGCACCAACAGCGATCACACTGTACAACACCTCATCACTGGGCTGGACAATACTGTATACTGAGCTACTGACGGGATGGCTCATTGAGCACCAGCTGGACATTATATATCTCTACTCTTTACTACGCACTGTTACTCTGTTTACTCTGTTTATACATCCATACAAGTTGCACAACTATTAACATATGTTATCGTTTACAGTGTATAGTCACTCGGTTCATTCACTGGACAAGACATGCACCACTGCATTGTCACTTGCATAACATTTGTGCGATTTTACTTTTTCCCGTACTGCACATTATAATTCATGGTTGTTTTAGTATATTTTATTATATATCTTTACTACAATACTTTTGCTCTTGTTTTGATCTTTACTGTACTTTGTGCTGCTGTAATAGACGACTTTCCCTCTGGGATTAAAAAAGTGATCGACCAATCGATACCCAGCGTTCACTATGCAAATATATCATACAATTGGAAATCCCTGTGGTGTCAACCAATCGTGACTGCAAACCTGTTCTAAAGACTAATAAAAACAACCAAGCAAGCATTACAGTAACTCTTACATCACACAAGAAACATGAACGACAACTGTTCAGCAGTGAAAATAAGCCAAACTGAGGTAACGTATCTAGATACCTTGCTAACGTTAAGCGTTAAACAAATAACACATTTATTTCAAGATACGAGTTTAATTCTTTGAGTAAAGTATCAATGTGCTCTACAGTAAGTAAACTTGCTTGTAGTAAAGTATACTATTACCACTTGCATTCAGTTTCCTAGCAGTAACTTTAGCTATCTGGCCTCTTTCTGCATTTCACCAGCTAAAGAAAAAAAAAACAAAAAAACAAAAAAAAACAGTAAAGCCCACCACCAAAAACCCACCTTAAAGCAGTTATAGTTTTTTCAAAAGCTACTTCCACCTTGCTGAGTGTTAACTTGATAATTAGACATTTCCTAAAACTTAATAAAGATAAAACAGAAATCTGTGTTAATAATGATGCTAATAAAGAGAGAATTCAGAAAAAAATATGAAATCTAGCTCACGCTGACATTGTCACTTAATCTGCCTTCTATCAGATAGAGAAACATTGCTTGAGGTAGGCCATATATTAGTCATGACTGTAAGAAACTGACACATGTTTTTGTTTTCTCACGACTTGATCACTGTAACTTGCTTGTTCACTGGTTTGCCAAAAGCACGACTGCTCGTCAGGGTGTTAACTGCAACACGCAAGAGAGAACATATCACACCAATGCTGGCATCACTGCACTGACTTCCAGTCTCTTTTGGGATAGATTTAAATGTGGTTTTATAAAGCATTAAATGCATTAGCACCATCACACATAGCAGATTGTCTGTCTCTGTCTCGTTCTTTAAGATCCAGCACTGCAGGCCTGTTTAATGTACCAAACATAAACAAGAAAAGGGGTGGTGTTTTCCCCAAAATGGAACAATCTATCAACTGGGATTAGATAATCAACATCAGTACAATTTCTAATGAACAAACTTTGCATTTCATTCATTTCATAAAAATATATAATTTAATTATTACTATAATAGCTTTTTTTATTATTTCTATTATTAGTGTTGTTGCTAATTTACTTTTACTACTATTATATCTTTTACCTAATTATTTTATTGTGTTATGTGCCTTAATTTTGTTACTTTTACTAAAACCTTGCTGCTTTTGGGCTCTTCTATAATTTTACATATATATATATATATATATATATATATATATATACATATATATATATATATATATATATGTGTGTGTGTGTGTGTGTGTGTGTGTATATATATACATATATATATATATATATATATATATATATATATATATATATATATATATATATATTTGGATTGTAAGTCTGAATGTATTGTAAATAAACTAAACTACTGCAGCATCACTTTAGAATGCAGGTAAGCAGATGTAGCTGGTGTAGAATTTTCATATTTTCTAAATTGTCCCTTTAAAGATTAACTTCACCACTTTAGGTTCTTCTAAGGTCACAAGCTCCTAAATAAGATCAAAACTACAGCATAAGTAGGTTCTTCCCCTCCACTTACTCCAGCATTTCGACCCTGTGGAGCAGAGGTGAGGAGCTCCGATCCTGGAGGGCTGGACTGCTGCACAGTTGGCCGCTTTTCCTGCTCAAACACCTGATACAGCTCATCAGCTAATTGCCAGGCTCAGCTGGTATGTTTGAGCAGGGAAATCAGCAAAGTGTGCCGGCCTCCGGCCTGCGGTTCCTCACCCCTGCTGTGGAGAGTGAAACATCTTGACTAGATGTTAAGTGTAGAGCTTGGACTGAAGCATGAGATTAGTTTTAAGAACATATACAAGTAATCATTTGCCAGAAAATTCCATACTTTACCTCTAATACCACACCTTACCGCTAATAGTGTTAGTATAGCTAGCAAATGCAGTATTCAGTCAGAATACTTGCATTAAACATCTTGGCCTTAATTTTTTTCCTTAAAAAAAAGAGTAAAATCTCTTTAGAGATATGTTAAATATAAGTTAGATATGTAGAGTGAAGACAAATCCAAAATTGTATACAGTTTTTTTTTTTTGTTTTGTTTTTTTTTAAAGTTTCAGCACTTAAAGATGAACTTCAGTGTGATACTTCATCTATAAGGTACAGTGACATTCTGTTAGATTAAATATTGATTTAAAAACTGCTTAAGGCTGTAAATACTAAAATTCATGCAGTTATTAGTAAATTCGATGCTTACATCCCTCTAAATCATTTTGTGTCGCCAGGAGTTTATTGGACACTGCCCAAAATAATCCAAAGTAACCTCCAGTACTGCACCAATTCACAGCAGGAAAAAGCCTGTTTTTGTGGAAATCTTAATCTTTCAAATGAAAACAAATGAACAACTGCCAGATTAATGTTACTGATCGCTGTTTTACACCTTTAATTCTCCTTAACTGGACTTTATCCTGTCCTTACTAGATGAGGTCAGCAGGTAGATAATAAGCTAACCGGCTGGTTAAATAATATTGAGAAATAGGCTTCAAATTCAGACCAAAAGTCACAATAAAACTGCATATAGAACACATAATATGTTACCTGTATGCTTGTTAAAAACTTCACATGTAACTGTATGAAAACACTATGAATTCCCTTTGAAATGCTAGAAGAAATTATAATTATGCTGGTGGGTAATCAGACAATGAAAGGCTACTTGTAAAGTTAATTAATAATGTTTCTGCATTTAACATTGATATGTAGTGTTTTTATGTGATTTAACAAATGTATTTGGTTCATAGTATAAACAAAACAATTTCTGTATTGGCTCAAATGGTTTATTTTGCATTTGGTTACATACGTGCTATCCCATTAGCAGTTTCTCCTTCTCATGAACTCCCCACAGGCTCAAACATGCACATCACAGGCTTGTCCACGCTGAAGTTTTCTCTTACTGTTCTGGGACTGAAAAAACAGTCCCCCACACTACTGTGACTGACACTGTCTTATGAATATTAAATATTATGTCATGCCGCACTGTACATAGACCAGAAGCCCCATGTCCATTAGAAATTCCAATGTCATGCACCATTCAAGTGGCCACTGGTATGTAGAGGACTTCAAAACTTCTTCGTAAGCCAGACTGGTTTGATTGATTGGCAACTGGGCAACAGATATATTGTAATAAATACAAGGAGAGTCTGAATAAACTGTGTTTTGACAGTGTGATTTGTAGATATCTACCTGAGGTAATGCCTGAACTACCGTGTCCAGCAAAGCACGCATCCCTGTGGCCATCTTCAACAGTTTCAGCACTGTGAAAAAGAGAAAAATCATAGTAATAATAAATGACATGTATAATAGCTATTCAGAGCAATATCTTAATGGAAGTCCCAGCAGTCTCAATTGAAGTGGAAAGTGAAATACCAAGTGTCAGAACCTAAAGTGGAGAGAGGATGTGGGGGCACTGCAGTCCTGGCTAACCCTCAGAGAGAGAGAGAGGCTGTAAGAGCCATTAATTACCACCAGCGCTCTCCTTAGAAACACTGCGACCCACCACGCTGCCCTCTCTGCACCCAAACGCTCCCTCCCCACACTCCCGCGTGCTACAGAAAGGCAGCAATCATTAGCTTTCACAAAGAGAAAGAGAGCCTTCCAATACGGCAGCATTGTGCCCTTCCCTCTCCATCCTGCACCTCGCTCGCTGCTCATTGTACATATCGCCTGGCTGTAATTACGGCCGCTTCACGCTGGGGTCAGGACACCTACTGCTGTATATTGTTACACAGCTGGGGGGGCGGTGGGGTGGGGGGTGTGAGGGGAGACAACTTAAGTACAAGAAAGAAAGAAAGAAAGAAGAAAGAAAGAAAGAAAGAAAGAAAGAAAGAAAGAAAGAAAGACAGGAAGGATGCAAGAAAGAAAAAAAGAAAGAAAGACTCAGGCAGCCAGCAACAGAGTCAGAAAGACAGGATGGAAGAAAAAAAGAGAGAGAAAGATAGGGAGCAAGAGAGATGGACAGAGAGAGAGAGAGAGAGAGAGAGATACAGAGAGAGAGACAGAGAGGGAGAGAGAGAGAGAGAGATACAGAGAGAGAGAGAGAGAGAGAAAGAGAGAGAGAGATACAGAGAGAGAGAGACAGAGAGGGAGAGAGAGACAGAGAGGGAGAGAGAGAGAGAGAGAATGAGAGACAGAGAGGGAGAGAGAGACAGGTTGAATGGTTGGAGAATGGAGAATGGAGAATGGTTGGAGAATCTGAGAGTTTCCTGCTGTAACTCTGTAGATGAACAGTTGGGAACTCGTGAGGAAGGTTAGAGAGAGAAGTGAGGGATAAAAAGAGCAGAATGTGACTGAACTGTGAGTGCGGTGACTCACCACGGGCGATCCGCAGCACCCGCATGATCCGTATGATGGTGGGGTTGATGGGAAGAGAAGCGTTGATCTCAATCTCCTCCAGAGTGATGCCCATCACGGATAAAAGCACGATAGCCAGGTCCAACTGATTCCACCTGCAGAGAGAGAGAGAGAGAGAGAGAGAGAGAGAGACGGGGGCGGGGGAGCAATAGAGAGACATAAATCATATGACTCTGATGATTAACGTTGTCCTTATTATTATTATGTAAATACCGCTTGCTGTGCAATGCTTTGTCAGCCTCTACAGCCAAATAGTGCATCATTTATCGAGTATGGAAGTGGCTAAATCCCAAATGGCTATTTCTGAGCTATATTTTGCACTGGTGGGGTGCAGGATCCAGTATTTAAATTCCTATGTAGTGCAGTATGTAGGGAGCAGGGAGCTGTTTGAGGTTCAGCCCCAGCGTTAGAAGAGGAGCTGCAGGATTGGTGCTAAATAAGACTTGCAGTTGTAATTTGGTGACCAAAAAGTACTAATAAAGTGAAGGTTTTTGCATTAAACAGTGCTGTGTTATCATATGTTCATTGTTATACAACAAAAAGTTTAAATTCATGAAATGTCCACAATTCAGTGTGATGGGCGACCGGTGGAATACTTGTTTATTTCAATATTATTTATAAAACTTAAATTATTTTCTGAAAAATTGTGTATTTAATTTTGATAAAATTGATTTTATGTTGGTCCCCATTTTATAAAAGCAATAAACCACTTGAGGCTGTGCATACTGAGATTTTATCACAGGGAAGGGAGTTTTAGACACTCATGTTGTGCCCAAGAACACCCTTCCCAAGATAAAATTGCAGTAACGCTTATTGCCCCATGTTAATGTAATTTTTTTTTTTACAATTAAAGCAAACTGCTGATTCAGGCGGTATGAGTTATTTTGGCAATTTTGGATAAATCAGCAAGCAGCCAAACAGCAAACTACCAAGGGAAAACTACAGTTCCTCTCAGGACTTGCAGTAACAACTGTGGAGAAGTTGGAACCACTGACTACATATATAAAATGCCTGATATATACACTCATCGGTTGGAACATGCAGCAACTGTTGCTCTCTCTAGACATCGGTGACGAAAGGGAATTAGAAATTGCATTCAGCCTATGGAAATGAAATGATTCACTCAATCCACTGCTAAGCAGGCTAGATACAGAGTAAATGCTTGGATTAACTGGCTCACTGGGCCCAGTCAGAATCATAGAGACACAGCAAAGCCTGAGATCCATCTAAAGGGCAAAAAAGTGTGTGATACTGTGATATTATTATTACACTTTGCTTACTTCTATCCAAAGATGTGCATCCAATGTACAGGTAAAGTTTATGGCAGGCATGGATGGAAAAATCAAGGTCAGGAACATTGTTAACATTGTTACTTGGTCTGTGTTCACACAGCAGGTAAAAGTGGCCCAAATTGGATCTTTTTCTTCAAATGTGACACAGATGTGTCAGTGTGAGCAGCAAATAATACACTGAATCTGACATTTTCAATTCCGTTTTGAGACGCTTTCATATGTGCTTCTGAAATCCGATACGTATCTGATATGTGGCAATGTGACTCAGTCAGAACAGCCAGATCGGAATTCACTTTTATGACAATGCAACTCCACATTCGTCACCATTTTGCGCTGCTGAGACCTCATAAACATTTAGGCTGATGTTTATGTTCAAAACATTAGAAGAGACGTATCCAAACCCCATCTGTGTTCAAAGACATTTTGAAAGAAATGGCTGAACGCGGCTGTAGGAGAACGAGGCTGCAGCGTCAAAAAAACAGTTAAAAGTCGGAAAGCAAAGTTTAAAGAATCTGAGGACACGAACCAAAGAAGTGACCACTCCCTTTTTATGGCTCGAACACATTCTGGGTGATGAGCCCCGCTGTCAGTCAATGAAGCTTCATGATCGCTCCTGTGGTGCTGATGAAGCTGAAACCTCTGGGAGCGACTGGCATTAGTTGGCAGTCGTGATTGTTTGCCTCTGGAGGAGCCACAGGAAGTAACATGAAGAATTGCTCTTTTGCACATATGGGTCGATTTAGGAGCTGATCTGTTTAGACTGATGTCACATATGAATCACAAACAAAAAAAATCAGATTGGTGAGAAAATCAGATTTGGGCCATTTTTACCTGCTGTGTGTGAACGCAGCCTTAGAGGACTGGAAATTTTGTAGATGTTACGAATAAGACAGTTTCAAACTTTCTCTTCTCCACTTCCCTGTATAGGTTAATGTTATGCAACAAGCTCAGAGCTCACTGCAGCTTCACAAGCATCAAAAACGTTCTTGTGAAAAAAGCTGCCTTTAAATGAGAGGGCTACAATCAGACATTCCATATCAGTATACAGCACATGAGCAGCAGGACTTCCTCATGGACTACTAAGAACAGTTTGAATGGTCAAAACACATTAATGGTGTTAAAAAAATGTGGAACATCTTCTTAATGTGTTTTCTTCGAAAGAGAGAGAGAGAGAGAGAGAGAGAGAGAGAGAGAGAGCGAGAGAGACAGATTACACTGCACTGGCAACCCTAATTTTTGAAGCTGTATTATTCCATATGAGCCTTCAGGGCGATTAACGATATAATATGAGACAATAGGTAAATGGAACCGCTGTGTCTTCCACATTAAATATCACAGCAAGTAGTGCAGAGCACGTTTACCGACTGATACAAGATAAATACAAGACGCACCACATGGTAAAATATGCCCTAGAAATGTTTGGCTGCTTCACAAAACGAGTTTCAAACAGAAACAGCAGGCTGTACCTCTCTGAATGGTTACGTAACGAACACACCGCTGGGTTCAGAGAGAAGCACTGATGTCGCTGCACCGTAAATGGGTCAAGATTCAAAACCAACACCAATACACACAACACTCGCATCAACACACCGCCAATCGCACAGGGTTAGGGAGGAAGGTGGAATGAAATATTAATTCATTTTGGCAAAAAAAGGATAAATGATGAACTGAACTCCTTTTAAGTTTCCGTCAAGGCTATGCATAACAAATTACGACCTCTTTTTATTCTGACCTTTTCAGGCTCTTTTCACTGGACAAGCTTTAAAGAACATTAGCAAACAATCCCATTCAAGCTTATGAGAAACCCAGCTGAGTGCACAGCTCAAAATAATTTTTTGTCAGAATCAAAATATTTTATGTAGTTAATCATGATTAATTGCATTTTGTATAGTCAGCCATGGTTAATTACATTATTTTATGTAGTTAACTGCAAATAATCTGTGCATCATGTTTAATTGTATTATTTTGTGTTATCACGATTTTTCATTCTTGTGCAGGTGATTAAAGGTGCAGTGTGTAAGATTTAGAGGGAAAACATACATTTGGAATGCAATCTAAATTTCTAAGTGCAACATTCCTTTCATATGCATGTGAAAGATTGCACTGTTAGGATGGACTGGAAGTATTTTTTGTCATAACATTAGCATGGTGGCAAATGTCATTTCCAACTTGGCTAGTTTCAATTAGTAACAGCAACACAGTCCACAGACCCACATCATGGGAGTGGGAATAGCAGTAATACTGCAGATTTCCATGGCAATCTACTGGTACGGGGACAAAATCTCACTTTTTTCCACTGTGACAACAGGAATGGGGATACATTTTATGGTACTCCTGTGGCATCGATAATGAAGAGCTTATAAACACAGTGTGAATGGTAATGAAAGAACCAGTTTATTTTTTTTCACAGCAGATAATGTTAATGCATTTCATTTAACCCATGTGTCTTTCTTTGATAGACTGATCCCATACTTTATTTTATTAGTCCTCCAGTCTATAAAACTGCTTAATCCACCATTACCTTTATGTTTTAGTTTCCTGTGTGCATATATTTTAAATGCAAAGATCCAAATATGGTCAGATGTGCTTGAATGACACCCACTAGCCTGACAGGCTTCCACTTTCTACCCATTTCAGAAGCCAAAAACAACTTTAAAAATACCAGATTTAGATGACTCTTTGAAGAAAACCTCGCCATCAGCTGATCATAGACATCAGAATTAACAAAACATTTGCCTGCTCATAGGTGAGTCATTTCATTTGCTGTTTCGCTGGTTAAATAATAATTCGAGATAATTTGTCAGAACAATAAGCTGCAAACTGATGAAATCCTTTAATGTGCAAAGGGTATTAACGCAGCCATGCTTATACTGTGCAGTAGAGGACTCGAAAACGTTTGTCCCGCTCCCGCTGCTTCGCAACGCTTTAGGATGACTTTGTTCATTCTGATTGTTTTACTGTTTTCATTTATATTGTTTCTATATATGATTTAGTGATCGTTCTACAACCCCAATTCCAAAAGTGTCCACTCCAGCAATTGGTCTCCTCACTTCCCAGACATTTACAGACTGTTGTTAAAAGAAGAGAGGATGCTACACAATGGTAGACACGGTTCTGTCCCAACTTTTTTGAGATGCGTTTCTGCCATCAAGTTCTAAATGAGTTAATGTTTTTCATGAAATGGTAAAATGTCTCACTTTCAACATCTGATTTGTGTTCTATGTTCTATTGTGAATACAATATGGGTATTAGTAAATCATTGCATTCTGGTTTATTTACATTTATTTACATTTTACACAGCATCCCAACTTTTTCAGAGTTGGGGTTGTACTTTATATAGGCGATTCATAAACTCCCCTCCATGCATGCTTCATCCCACCCCCGCCTGCTTTAGGCTGGTATGCTATGTGATATGACTGAATACACTGAAAATCCTTTATAGGATGGAAAAACTGACATATTTTATATTTTACCGTAGAAACAGTAGAGGGTTATGTTGAGATAAGGTGGGGAAACTCTTGGGGTGTGTGTGTGTGGGGGGGTATAGGGTGGCAAAAGTGTTAAAGATATCAGGGACACTATGTACAGAGTTTCTTTCCCCTGCATCGCTCTACTGGAAACTCGACCCTAAATTCATAAGGCTGAATGGGATTTTTGCCAACATTCTGTAAAGCTTGTCCAACCTAGCAACAGTTGCTACTAAAGAATGCATCTGTGGGCAGAGCATGGACAGCTCAATTACTATCAAGGAATGACTACTACTGTTTTGATGTGTTGCCAGAGAGTCTGGTGCATTGCTGGCTCCCAAATGTGGCTAAGAACCGCCTACTTTGATAGGAAAGGGCTGTTTTGCTGACATGCAAAACAATCAACCACAGATTGTTGTTGTAGCATGATGTACAAGCGCAGTTGATTTTCAAAACAGGGCTACAACTAAAACAAACCTGTGCAAAACACATTGATATGTGTCAGCAAAATATTCAAGTATATTTTGCTTAAAATCTTCTAAATGCTTCAAAATAAAAACTCTTGAAAAACTTTTATAAACTTTTCTCAATCCAGCATCTGTATCTCTCTCCAAAAATCTCAGTGACATTCTGTTTCTGTCACATCTGCTCACGTCAGACACACAAAACCCGCTGAACAGAAGTGCGTTCACATGGACGGGGAGATCCAATCAGAATGGAACTACCAAATTCTCATAGTTGTGGTCAGCTTAGCGTGCAGGAGCTATCAGACAGTCCATTTATGTGTGGACAGAGCATCTGAGGCTGAGACTGCTGTTATAGAAACCACTCAAATTAACTAAATGTTCATATCCTGCCTCTTACTGTACACTAGCGCTTACTAGATATGCACTAATAGCTTTGAACTTTACCTGTATCATCAGTGCAGTAATGCTTATTGATGCAGTAATCCATATTATCTGACCTTGAAATAATTATCAGGAATAAATGTAACTAATCATGCTTATCATTTTAAATAATCACGTAAGCACCGATTTCTAATCACTGCAGCTTTTTCTCAATTAAACCCAAAGTGACGTGACTGTGCATACATTAATAAACATTAAGCAGCAGATTGGCATAATTACAGCATCCTTCTGCAAAATAGCGCATGGATCCATCAGACTGAGGGAAGAGAGTGTGACTCAGGAAAGCAGGCAGGGGAATAATTAGTGTATTTCATCAATTACTGTCTCCGAGTAGGGTGTGTGTGTGTGTGTGTATGTGTGTGTGTGTGAGTGTGTGCACTTGCTGCCCTCCTGCCAGTATTTAGTGCGGAGGGCGGCTGTACCTGTCTTTGAAGAAGCGTCGGAAGCCGAAGGCAATGAGCTTTAGTGTAGCCTCGACCACGAAGGTGGAGCTGAAGAAGTAATTACAGTACTTCAGAGCCGTCTCCAGGGACTGAGGAGAGATAGAGAGAGAGAGAGAGAGAGAGAGAGAGAGAGAGAGAGAGAGAGCGAGAGAGATTGGGACATTTAAAATACAAGAGGTAGACCGTTTTCATGTGATTAGGAATAGTTCAACGGAAAAACCAGTTTTTACAGTTTCCCCTTATTTCATATGTAGCTGACCAGCTAAGGCCTGAAGTTTGCTTCTTTAGCTTTCACTGGAGCTGTGAGGCTAATGTTGCTAAAACCAATAGAAACTTAAACCCTTGCTCTACTCAGGCCTAAATCAAACTAGATCAGTAATATGTTATTTGTTGTGTTATGCAGTTATATGTACACAGCATTGTATTCCTCAGCTTCACTTTCATCGTTTTGTTCTTCATTGTTCTATCACTACAACACCCAGCATGAATTATGCAAATACATCACACACTTGCTGGGAATCCCTGTGATGTCATCCAATCATGACCACTAGCCACTGATCTTAAGGCTAAACAATACAACCAAAAGAACACAGTAAAAAACGAATACCTCAGTCTTGAAAAAAAAAAAATTCTGTCTTTTTCTGATTCTGTCCTTTTTTTAGTACAAAACAGATGCCAGATACAAGTTTTACCGTTTCAGGCAGAGAAAAGAAGCCAATGTGAGGTAAAGTGTCTAGCTACATGGCTAACTTTAGTTTCCAGTTTGTTGTTCTCCTCATTTGATACTACATTTCTGTCATTTGAGTAATCTATTCTCTCCATTGTAATGATGATTTGAAACGTTGTATAAATAAGCATGTAATAAGATGTTCGGCTTCCGAGCAGTAATGTTAGCTATCTGTCTGCTTTCTGCTTTCGCTGAAAAAAAGAGAAATAAATTGGCACAACAGCACAAAAGTCCAGCCAAAAGTGATAGAAGTTTCACAAAAGCTCCTCCCACCTTCAAGATACATCATTAGAAGGGGGTTGCCTAGTCTTTAAACCAGAAGAACTCATTGTAAAGCAGGGGTCGGCAACCTAAATGTTAAGATGAGCCAGGTTGTCCTTTCAACAAAAATCAAACCACCTTGGGAGCCACAACATTTCATGTCTATTTGACCATCTTGGCTGTAAATAAGTCTCGATATGTGCTAATGTACAAGTATAGACTAAGATAAGAATGGAAATAAAAATTTTATCAGATTTACTTTGCTCTGCTTTAGGCTTTAGTTCAGCTATAGCCACTTTTCTCGCATCTCCAACAGGAAACTTTTCCGCAAAAGTGAAATATTTTTTTGCAAAATGTCTCTCAATATCAGATTTTTACGAAGCTGAAATCAGCTTCTCATTTACCAGCTTCTTGTTCAAATTTTCCCGTTCCTCCTTCCTGGATATTTTTGGTTGGTGGACTATTCTCAGTCCAGCAGTGACACTGAGGTGTTTAAAAACTCCAGCAGCACTGCTGTGTCTGATCCACTCAGACCAGCGCAACACGCGCTAACACACCACCACCACGTCAGTGTCACTGCAGTGCTGAGAATGATCCACCACCCAAACAGCACCTGCTCTGTGAGGGTCCATGGGGGTCCTGACCATTGAAGAACAGGGTAAATAGGGGGCTAACAAAGTATGCAGAGAAACAGATGGACTACAGTCTGTAACTGTAGAACTACAAAGTGCACCTATATAGTAAGTGGAGCTGATAAAATGGACAATGAGCGTAGAAACAAGGAGGTGGTCATAATTTTATGCCTGATCGGTGTAAAATGGACACAAAAAAACATGCATGGCTTAAAAAAGTAGTAGCCTGGAATTTTGTCCACAACTGTGTCCATTTTATAGATAACAGAATATCATACACTGTCAGGAGCCACACAAGAAATTCTAATTGATATGATTTCTCACTGAATTCCTTTAATTGGTGCAGCCACTCCACAATGCGCTGAAAGTTATGAATATGGAACAGGCAGTTAATTAGGTTTTAAAAAAAAATGACCCAACTGATACAACGACAAAAACAAGGAATTATTCATAAGCCCAGGACAGGCTGCTGACTGGTCAGTCTGAGGTGGGTGCTATTCTGACCTTAGGCTGGTCGTAGTGCTCTAGCGACATGGTGACCACGTTGATGCAGATGATGAGGGTGATGAAGAGGTCCAGATAATGGCTGGTGCAGAAGGAGTGGATCATCAAACGGATGTGACTGTAGCCAGCGTAGTATGGCAACTTCTGAGCCTCTGCAAGGAGAGAGAGGGAGAGGGGGAGTGAGAGAGAGAGAATAAAAGAAAGTGAGTGAGAAATCATTTTTCAGAATGTAACAGACTGCACTGCAGTTGTAAACACTGTTTGAGGCCCTTTGTACAAAGTACACCCAGTACATCCGCAGACCAATACAAAGCAGGAACAACCTAACGCCTCCTTTTAAAGCTTCAAAAGCCCCATAAGAAATCACTGAGGGAGGCGATGCAGCAGCAGGAGAGATTTATGACCTAAAATGAATTAATGGTTAATCAATAGCAAAACTGTACAGAAAGTTTTACCATGCTTTACTAGGCAGAGCATTGTTTTGTCAGCTTCCTAATGATGATTTAACCATTTTTGGTTGATTTTGCATCATGATTTTGCATCTTACACTGTAAAAAATGGCTCATCAGTTCAACATAAAAAAAATACTTTATGTAATAACAAGCAATGAAATTAGTTTTATTCAGCTCAAAAAAATACATTGAAAGAATCATTCATTTAAATTTATTTAGTCTAAATAAAACTAGTTAATTTACTTGGTAGAAGATGAAATGTTATTATTATTATTATTATTTTTTTTATTATTATTATTATTATTATTATTATTATTATTATTATTATTATTTATTTATTTATTTTGATCTGATGAGCCATTTGTTTTACAGTGTACTGCTTATTTTGTAAATTTCTGGTTGATGTTTCCCTTAATATATGTATTTTTTTTTTTCAAACTGAAATGTTGAAAAAAAATAGATGTTGAAAATAAATAAACATGTTACTATTACCTAAATAATCTATTCTAAACATCTACGTACATCCTACAGTGGTGCTGTAGTGGTCTCTGAAGTGGGATTTTTTGTTTAAAAGACTAGGAAATCCACCCGTATGATGATGTATCCTGAGGGTGGAATGAAATTTCAAACTTCTGCTACTGTTTTTGGGTGGATATATTAGGTCAGATTTTTTTGAAACAGTGTTTTTTTTTTCTTCGCTAGGTGGCAGATAGCTAACATTACTGCTAGAAAGCCGAAATTTATTTGGCTTATGTAGAAATAACTTGTCGAATAAGGTGGACAACAAGCTAAAAGCTAATGATAAGGTAGTTGGATATCTAGACAACCTAGATAAGGCGTTTTCATTATTGTGGTGCAATGATTAACTGACTTAAATTGCTGAAGAATAGTGTTTAGTGGACGGTGAAATCAGGAAAACCAAGCCAGTGAAAGGGACGACACAGAAATGAAAGAATGATAGATTTTAGTTAATATATGTTTAAACTGAGCAACCAACAGCAAAAGAAGACCCTTGTAGAATGAGAGGAAAGAAAAGGGAGATAGGTGAGACAGAGAGATAAGGTGGGATAAATAAATGAAGAAACCAGGAGAAAAGTTTAATGAGTAATAAAATAAGGCGACAGCTGAGATCCGAGAGTGAGATATTAGAGGAAAATGAAAGATGGTGGAGAGGAGAGAGGAAAAAGAAGAAAGAGGTGTGTGATTAATACTCTGCAGTGAAAGAGAAAGCTGTGAATGTGCTGAAATTACTCATAACCCCATTCAGAGTCTAACACACCTGAGAGAGCTCATGACCTACTTCCAGTACTTTTCACACCACTCCGGTGTGCTATTGTACAAACGTAATTAAGGCCAACTTACTTAAGCATTAATATACTGTAAGTCTATTAATACACAAGGACTTGCGGAAGAACATCAATTTATTGGTGTATCAATTTATTTATCCCCCTCCTCTTTGCTGTGCTCTGCCCTTCCACTCTCCAACTCTCCAAATGAACAAATAGGCTCCGTCCACTCTTATTATTACTGGAATCTATTTCTGAATCTATTTCTGACCATTTTACCTCTCTCTCTCTCTCTCTCTCTCATCTTTCTTCATTGTTTCTTCTCTATTTCCATCTCTCACTTATGAGTTTTTAAACACCTCAGTGTCACTGCTGGACTGAGAATAGTCCACCAACCAAAAATATCCAGCCAACAGCATCCTGTGGGCAGCATCCTGTGACCACTGATGAAGGACTAGAGGATGACCAACACAAACTGTACAGCAGAAGATGAGCTATCGTCTCTGACTTTACATCTACAGGGTGGACTGACAAGGTAGGAGAGTCTAATAAAGTGGACAGCAAGTGGACACAGTGTTTAAAAACTCCAGCAGCACTTCTGTATCTGATCCTCTCATACCAGCACAACACACACTAACACACCACCACCACGTCAGTGTTACTGCAGTGCTGAGAATGATCCACCACCCAAATAGTATCTGCTCTGTGAGGGTCCATGGGGGTCCTGACCACTGAAGAACAGGGTAAAAGGGGGCTAACAAAGTATGCAGAGAAACAGATGGACTACAGTCTGTAATTGTAGAACTAGTAAACCTATATAGTAAGTGGAGCTGATAAAATGGACAATGAGTGTAGAAACAAGGAGATGGTCATAATGTTATGCCTGATCGAACCCTTTTTGCTATGAGTGTATTGTAGTAATGTTAGCTGAGGTAACAGACCATTAGCATTTGTCTGTCATCTAAAAGACTGGCTGATTTTAAATTTCAAGCCACAAGTGATCTACTGTGACTTTCTGTGGTCTCAATATGGCTTTAATTTAATGTAGCAACAGCAAGATGCTGAGTGATGAGCTATGATGTGCTGAGCAGCTGAACACTGTGTGAAGTCATCAGCAACGTACACATCACGCAGCACATCTGGTGTGTGGTGGCCTTAAGGGCTTTACCTCTGTACCCCACTAACATCTCACTTGCTCTTTCTCTCTGCCTGTCCTTCTTTGTGTGATGCTCTCTCTGCCTCCCAACAATCTCTCTCTCTCTCTCCCTCTTTCCTCCCACACCCTCCTTATCTTACTCCGTCTCTTCTTCTCCATGCGGCGGAGTCTTTTCTCCTCTCTCCTCTTGGCCTCCTCCACCTCCTGGTGCTGCCGGCACTTGTGGAAGTTCTCCACCACCACACCCACGAACATGTTCAGGACGAAGAAACTGACAATGAGGAGGAAGGAGATGAAGTACAGCAGCATCCACGGGTTGTTGTTGGTCACCGGCTGAGTGGACAGAAAGGAATCCAGGCAAGAGAAGAAGGGGAAAAGGTGAGAAGAGGGAAGTGATACTTGCCATCTGATGTTCAGGATATTTGAACAACTTTGAAAAAGGTCCAGTTTTTCAGTGATTAATCTGAAGGCTGACTCATCAGCAAATACTATGCCAGATCCGGTAACTATTAAAAAACTGATACAGTATGTAAGTTATTCTTGCGTTTCTTGTGACGTCCCACTGTATAGGCGCCGCCATTTTGAGGACTGAATCAGGGAGTGACTGCACTAGCATGATGCCTTCAATTTGCTGTGATTTGTGAATGATTCACCCCCTGCACTGTATAGTTTAGGGTTTCTCTCTGTTGTTCACACCTCGTTCAGCTCAAGAAGGGATTAATTAGCTAAAAATATCAGGCATTTTAACCAGGGAAACCACAATCATGCAGTGAAGGGGTTTCAGGACTGGAGGTGAACTCTGCACTAACTGCACTAGCAAACTTACAAAATCTCGTCTGTGGAAACACAACATAGTTTTCCGTCATTCCGACATTCAGTCTTATATTTTACGTTTATGTTTCTCCATCCAAACGTCACTTAAACCTCCAGAAACAGAGAAGTAAAGTTATACCCAGCTGTTTTCAGCTCCGTTAGGGGAGCAAATGTTTATCTCTTGCCTGTTAACGTTAGCTAAAGTTATCTAAAGGCTAGCATTGTTCACATCTGTGTTAATTAGCTGATGTTGTTACCCTTCCTATGATGACAGAGTGTTTTCTCCTCTTTATGCAACAGCATGGGATCCTTTACCCACCCTGAGGTGAAGAGCCGGTGGGCTTCTGTGCTTTTAAATGCTTTAAGAGACTCCAGAATAGGGAGACGGGTTGTATATGAGATAAATAGAAATGTCAGGAAAACACAAATTCGGTAGCTTTCTACCAGTTTAAGTGGGACCAGGAGTTCAGGGGAAACTGTGCAAGGTTCGCATCTTATTTTATCGACTCTGTCAAGGTAACGTTTTTTCTCTTCCAAAGTAAGGCGAGTAATTTTACCCATCTTTCAACTCTAGTTGGGTCATTCTACAGAAACATCCACTTTTCTATCTTTCCATAGGGGTCACTGGTGTTACCGATCGTCATTGGTGTTACACATAAGAAAGGTAACACCAGAGACAGTAACACCAGTGACATTTTTAATGAAAAATACATTTTACACAATGTCTGCTACAGAGCATCAAACCACATGATGTCAATCATGGAAAATCCACTAAAATATGTAATTTAATCCATTTGTATTCTATTTTTTCACAGTTACCTAAGACTAAAGTAGGTCACACCAGTGACTTCAACTCAAAGCTTCGTATGAAATCATGAGCTAAATGAGAAAATCTCTGATAACTGAAAGACACAGCGGACTCGCCATGTGCTTTTCTTCATAGATCCACAGAAAATAGGTAAAAGGAAGTCGAGTGATGTCATCAGTGTGATTTTTATTTCAAAATGAGAGATTTTTTGTTATGCATTAACACCAGTGAGACGACTCCTGGGGACAAAAACTTTCATCATATATTTTACAATATTTATTTGCCATTTGTTTTCTTTATGTCATTTAATTCATATATTTCATGGTCATATATAGATTATTGCAGTTAAAACTGCAGAAAAACTCAAAATATGGCACTCTACTTGGAATTCTACATAACAGATTTAAAAAACAATATTGCTAAATTGATGGCAATATTCAATGTAACTGTTAAAAAAAACTTATTATTGTTTTATTTTAAAATATTAATAAATTGTAACCCTAACATGTTTTTCAAGTGTAATATATCTGTAAACACTAGGGACACAAAAATGGACATTTCTGTAGAATGACCCAGTTATGTTAGTGTGGAGCAGCAAAGCCAGAAATTCTGTCCCAAATATGACGGCCACAACAGAAAAATCACATGACTGAAATCCTAGGATATAATCGTATGAACAACTACGAACATACAGAGTCCAAAAGTTTGAGATCACTAGTGAAAATGATTTTATTTTGCATTAATTTTAAATTAAATACTAAGTTTTTCTTTAAAACTACATTGTCAATATGGACTCCACAAGTGTCATCTGAGAGTGGCCTGAACACAAACTTCAATGGGAGAAACAAGACTAAAAATAATCTGACCTTTTTGTACAAAGGCCTTAACATGATCAATGCCAAAAATGTGCTTATATTTGAATAATGACCTAGAAATAATGCAGGAAATATAATATTTTGTCTCCATTTTCTTTGTCATAACTTTTTTTTTTTTTAACTCTAAAACTTTGTCATTTGTTTCCATGAAAATTCTTTTTTTTCCATTGAAATGAAAAATCCAAATTCCAAATTCCCAGGTTTTCAATGTGGTCCATGTGGACTTTCTGACCTCACTGTAAACACTATGTTCGTAATGCCTCAAGTTAAAGTCAGGAGAAGCAATAACAACAATACAATAACAACAATAACATCCCCCACTCTTGTGGCAAACTCCTTACATGATGCCATAGCAGAACCTCTTCTGGCTCCCTAAAGACCCAATTTAAGGAGAACCATTTTTGTGAATGAGATGTGTGAAGTGTGTGGAGAACATCATGTTCTAGGATGAACCTCTACATTGTGTGAAGGTTCTTTAAACTTCTACACTGTTCTTTGGACTCACACATCTCTTCTTCGAACATTCTTCTCTAGGGAACCAAAAGTGGCTTTTCTATGGCATCACTTAAAGAACCCTTTGTGTTCATATCCTTTGGCCAGTAATCATGTAATCAGACTGCACTCATATTTAGGTAACTACTGTGCTATTAAAGACAGTTTGGATAAAAAAGGAAACCACTGTGCTTGTTTACACAGTAAGCCGTGAACAACAGGGAAAATCATAATTGATAATTAAGGAGCTGTAGGTGTGATGCATGTCTCACTGAGCCAGTCTCAATCTCTCAGCCCTCCCCTGAGCTACTTGAACACTTTTATTAAATTTATTCAGATGGTATTAGCTTATTCAGCTGTGTGTCTCGGTGGAGCTGTCCCTTCCGTTCTGCTTGTGTGTGGGTGTGTGTATACATTAGTGTTTTAAAGTTTGGAATTGCTGGTTATATTACTAATTTCCCTATACATTATAACAGCTCATACAACACATATTTAAATATTATAAACTAGACACCAAAACAGATTTTAGATGTTGTTCTATATAGTATTATGGGATAAACAAGAATGTATTGAATAATAAACTATATATTGTTACACTATTTACAGTGACATTAATTTTATTATAACGTCATTATTGATCTACAGCTTTCTGAATCATTTTGGAATCATTTACAAATTTACCTAATATATTAGCTAATATAGTATACGCTGTATTAGCAGCGGGGAACTCTAGGGGTCAGAGAAAGCCTAATGATTTGTGGAAACTAAAAAATACTTGTCTGTAATTTATATTTAATAGGATCATCATGCTTGTTGTATCTAAATTCAAGTGTTCTAATAATAATAATTTTGTTTCATTGTTAATTTTTGGTTGGAAACAAATGGGTTAAAATCTTGAAATACATCGGAAAATGCTGAGATTTTTTTCTATATACATTGTATGGCCAAAAGTATGTGGACACGTGACCTAATCACACATATACGAGCTTGTTGGACATTTCAAAGCCATGGCCATTAATATGGAGTTGCCCTCTTTGCAGCTATAACAGCTTTCCGCAACATTTTGGACCATTGTGTCTGTGGGAACCAAAAGTGTTCAGTAGAGTTGAGGTCAGGGCTCTGTGCAGACCACTGGAGTTCCTCCACACCAAGCTCATCAAATCATGTCTTTATGGAGCTCGTTTTGTGCACAGAGGCACAGTCATGCTGCAGCAGGAAAGGGTCTTCTTTAAACTGTTACCACAAAATTTCAATCATTTAATAATCTAAAATGTTTCTGATGCTGTAGCATTAACATCACCCTTCATTTAACTAAGAACACTTGAAGAGCATCCCCAGCCCATTATCCCTCCTCCTCCAAACTTTACTGTTGGCACCATGCAATCCTGTAAGTAACGTTCTCCTGCCATCTTCCAAACCTAGATTAATTTATTAGACTGCCAGAGAGTGAAGTGTGATTCATCCCTCCAGAGAACACTACAGAAATTTCACTAACTGACTTGTGGCGGTGGCATCCTATGACAGAGCCGTATTTAAAGTGACTGAGCTCTTCAGTATGATCCATTCTAGCGCTAATGGCTGTCTATGGAGACTGCATGGCTGTGTGCTTCATTTTATACTTCTGTTAGCAATGGGCTAAACATATGAACTAAATAATTAGGGTGTCCACATACTTTTGGCCATATAGTATAGGCAGATACAATAAGCTCTTCCATAAGTTAGGCTTCTAAGAACTGGACAAAACGAATTAGCCACCAACATAATTAGAAAGTTAGGAACTAGAATTATTCAATCATTTTAAATTTCCAAAGTGTGGGACCAAAATCTTAAGAGAAAATATCCCTCTTGGCCTTTTGAAAGTCCTAGATTAGTCAGTGACTGTGAATAAGAGCAGGCGTTTAACCAAGTTTCAGTTGTTGGAGATGGAAAACAGTGGCAGCTCTGTGCTCTAAGCTCTCTGTAAAACTGTTAGCCCTAATGTCTTTTATTAGTTTCAAATAAAACATAGAGAATGTATTTTACAAGCTTCAAATGTTAATATTTAATGTAGAACAGCCAAAAAATATTTATTTACTGAAAACATACTTTTGACAAGAGGGCTACCACCCCACTGACAGTCCAGTACTTTTTTTAAAGAGTCTAGATGTGTTTCTTTTCTTATTTTTGCCCCAGTTTTCACTAATATGTCCCAAACTGAAGGGCTACCACTAAAAGTTCTGATTCGCCACTGCATATTATCATTTTATACATATTTCTGCAACCAAATTTGGTTAAAACTAAAGTGAATGCATGTGAGACAGTAACCTGAGTTCGTACCTGTTGGTCTATTCCCACAGCATCGAGCCCATGATACATTATATTGACCCAGCCATCTTTAGACGCCAGCACAAACAGAGACATCAGAGCCTGGTGAACAGAGAGGACAAACAATGAAGCTTATTTGCAAACAAACAGCTTTGCTTTTCTGATGCTAACATCTATGGCGGTGTCCCTGATCCCGCACCTGCCCCAGGTTGTCAAAGTTGTACTTGTGATGAACCCATTTGTATTTCGCCAAAAGACAGTCCGACTTATTGGTGATGTTCTTCACATCCAGACCCACACAGTAATAAAACTTCCCTTTGAAGAGCTGGAACACACACATACATACATACACATGTGCACATTTGCATTAGTCAATAAGTTTCATTAAGGTCTCTGCGGCAATATTGAGATTAAGAGAGAAAAAATAACTTGAGGCTCTGAAGAGTACAAAGCGCAAGAGAATGCAAAGATGAGTTTTTCAGCATTCATTACAGCCAGAGAGATCAGAGAGAGAGAGAGAGAGAGAGAGAGAGAGAAAGAGAGAGAGAGAGAGAGAGAGAGAGAGAGAGAGAGAGAGATCAGTATGAAGACTCTGATGGGTTTTGACACAGAGCAGGGGGACTGAGTAAAACAGAAGATTAAATATCAGATGAGGCTCTGGTGAGGCGCACTGTTTGGGGAAAACAAACCAGTCCGAACCTGCACGCCGAGGATGCCGAAGATGATGAAGAAAGCACAGCAGATGAGCACGATGTTGCCTATGGGCTTCAGGGATGTGATCAGAGTTTCCACCACCAGCTTGAGCCCAGGGGCCCGACTGATCACCCTGCATGCAAAACAGCACATAAATATTTAGAGTATTATACCAAAAACAGTACCATTCAAAAGCCTGGAGTCACAGTTTCCTGCAGCACCTTACTTTACAGATCGATAATGAGTACATAATGATATGGAAGTATTATGTTAGCAAACTATACTAAAAAAATTAACTGCTTCTTTTCTACTTGTGACTAAACAATAAGCTAGTAAATGTAGTAGATATAAGTTGTAATAACATGATAACATTATGGTAATAACTTGTACTAACACTAATTTTCTCTGTGTAATTACATTGTAGTGGTAACTGTTAAGAAAGAATAAACTAGCAATTGTTGTGCCAGTAAAATAATGGTAATAATGGATGGAAACAATGATAAACTCTAATTACCTGAAATTAAATGCTTATTTTGCATTCAATAATATAGTAATAATAATAATTAATAACTATTACAGAAAGAGTAAGTGATATTAAACAAATCACCATCACTGTAGCCTTATTTTTATAAGGATAAGATGGGCAGCTTAATCACCATTCTTTTTAAATTTTAAATTAGGGTTATTACTCCAAAATACTCATTTACTTGTTTCTACATTGTTTTTACCTATTATGTGTTTATGGTCAGGTGCAGTATGATGTTCAGACATGGTTACAGTAATTACAGTGAAACCAAATGGTATTGCCGCTGTAGAATACAAATGTACTTATTTCCGTTTAATTTCTCAGATACTGTATCTCACATCAGGTGAAAACATCAGTTCTTTTAGTAACAGCACTGTAATTACTGCATTATAATCACTCATGGTTCTTCTATTACTTTTATATGTCACCCCACCTACAGTCAAGTGTAGTGTGGAACAGATGAGGTAAATGTACTGAGATCACACAGAATCAGGGCTGGAAAACCCAACGACATGTTCCTTTTGTGCTACCTGTGATAGAAAAAACTACTTTGTGATAAAACTTCTTTCTTAAACTTTTCCATAAAAACAAAAAAAGCTGCTCAACATTGAGAATAAACTTGTCATTATTATAATTATCTGCTATTAGCAATAACAAAATTCACATTCAGAATTCCTCAAATCTGGGACAAAGATGGCCAAATCGTGATGCTGATAACTTGACAAAAATGTACATGATTACTTTATAGTTTGGTAAAATACATGTAAAATATGTTATTATTGAAAAAAGGAACAAAACCATTATGAATATTATGATTACTAATATGACTAATTAATTCTAAACATTTGAATGGTAGCATACATAAAGATGTTAAGTCATGGAGGGCCACGCATTATTGTGCAGAAGTCAGAGACCACCTTTTGTTTATTAAATTTCCAGCCAAGATGACAAACAGCTTAAAACGTATATTTAACACAGAAACCTTGACAACTAAAAATAATACTTATTTTGTTCAGTATTTATGGTGTCCACTCTTTGCCTCTTTGCCTTTATTGCAGCTTCCATTCCTTTCAGGAGACTCACTTTCAGTTTCTTTTATCTGCAGAGATATTTTTCCACACCTCCAAAGTTTAGTCTTAGAAGTTGGTTGCACTTTCTGCTTCTTACGATACAAGCAATCCAAAACACTTTCAGTGAGTGTGTTTACATGCACACCAATTGTACAATCACTATCAGATTTCGGCAGTTATCTAGTTATTCAAGCAGTCATGTAAACAGCAGGCTTACATTTCTTAAGTTAGATTAAGGCTGTTGTTGGATTCCAACATATCTGATAAAAGGTCTGGATTTCAGTTCAGGAATTGGGTTTTTCAGCGTATGTGTAGCCTTCTTCGGATTTCTTTCGTTTTTCTTAGTCTGAGCATGGGTGCAAATAGAATAGAGCTGTCCCGGAAACAGCATCAGCATTTAACACAGCACCTGTGAGACAGCAACAAGTCCTTTTTGGAATGATGCTGAACCCAACAACCTGCTTGACAAAATAAAGATTCTGAATATTCTTCTATAATGATTTTTATTCACATTTGTCGGTGAAGTGACTCTGTGTTTTAAAAAAGTTTAAATTTCCGTGTCCTTCTTCTTCTGTGAGTTGATTGGCTGGCTGTGAAGCAGAAATCTGATTATTGCTCATGTAGGTCTGGAGTTTTCCCATTACTTGATTACCCAAGTGCATGCAAACTCATAGAAATTAGTGAAAAACTCAAATTTTCTGCAGTTATTTGATTATTAAGTGCATGTCAGCGCATTCAGTGATATTGAGATCTGGACTCTAAGGTGGCCAGTTAATTACTCTGAGAACACCAGCACCTGCCAAGGTTCTAACAGCTACACATCAGTTCAGAGAGTGTCGAGTTGTCTTCTCACAGTAGAAGGATGGACAGAAACACCTGTGGATGTTTTCAGATCTGAAGCAGCTTGATTTTCTTCTCCCTCTCAAAGATGACAGATTTAAGTGCTGTTTATCTGACGGGGACAGTTGTGGTGTCTACCAGGTCCTGCATGGCCCATTTTTTCTGTATCTTTTAAGCATTTTTTGATCTCCAGGTCTGGAAACTCTTGATTTTTTTTCCTCTATATTCCTTTGACTTTCCTTTCATATGCAAGTAGATTATCTGCAGAAATATTGCCTAAATGATTTGTACTTAATGGCTGTTTTGAAAGTAAATGAATGAAGGGTGGTCTCTGACTTCTGCATAGCACTGCAGCTCTGCAGTATTCAACTCCTGATGGCCTTGACGAAGGGCTGAAGAGTTGACTCATGTGTATTAAATGATTGCAGGGCTGGAGTCTCACATGCCTTTAACATAGTACAACCCATTCACTATTTATAATTTAGCAGCCTATGAATACAGCTGTAACATAGAGAACTTAAACCGAAGCATGATTCATTCATCTTTCAGCTTCAGCGTGCCCTACTTCGAGCTTTCCCTGAGTGTCTGTGCACTGTAGCGTAGCAGCGGCCGCTCCAGCCGAGTAGCCTGCGTTTTGCCAGCAGGTGTGTGTACACACACATACACACACGCGCAGACAGACACAGAGCAGGTGCAGGCTGGAACACAAGTTTCATATTCCAGCGTTTCATCTGAATGGGCAGGCAGACAGAGACGGTCCAGCCGCGGGGGCGGAATGTCCACTGCAGCCGCGAGTATACACTTCACAAAAACATCTCGCCAAAAAAACACAGTATGTAAGACTTCAACGCTGGAAAGGAAGCTGAGATATCTGCCAGTGAGATGCAGGAACTTCCCTTGACCTCCCAAGATAGCTTAAAAAAAAAGTAGTAAATGTCTAGAAAATGGCCAAACAATATAAAACAAACTATTGAAAAACAGCAGTTCAATATATTTAGCACATATTTTGACATGTCACACATACTGCATATATGTTGCATAAATATTTTTAATATGGGCCAGTATACGTACTATTTGTTCCATTTGAATTATGCTTAGTGACATGGTTAAGGCGTAAGTCGTTCAGAGTGGTCTGATGTGAAAAGCTCTGTTCTAGACTTATGTGAACTGGTCAAGTTAAATGGCTTCGAAGATGCTAAACTGAGTAATATTCAAGTGAATCACACACAGGTGAGCTGAGTCAATTCTGATTAATAATTGGATCAATAATTAGCATGTAGTACACCAACATATCATTTAATATGGTAATATTAAGAAGGCACAAGTATAATCATGCACTGGTTAATTGACACTCTTTGATATCAAATGTTGCAATGTTATCCCAAGAATTAATAAATTCTGTTTTGCCTTTACGTCAAAAGTGAGGGAAGTTAACCAGACTGAAATGCATGTTATGTGGATCTTTATATTGCAATGCAAAGACTATTTACATTCAAGTGGCTATCCAGCATCTACAGGGAATGAATGAGTATTATTACCAGTAAAATTCCTTCATGCATTCATGAGTCCCACAACCATACTAAGATTCGAATGGTTGTTCATAGCATATTTTTGAGTAGTTTACTGTTTATATAGTAAAGTAGCAGGCAAAGAAATGCTTAAGAAAAAAAAAAATATTTTAAAAAAGGTGACAAGTGATATGTTGTGTTAAAGCACTTAATGACCAAAGTGGTAAAGTGAGGTCATTTTTATTTTGGCTGTCCAGAAATGAGGCACTTCACTGAAAATAATAAAGTTTTTCAAACGAAAAAGCTCATTTTTATTTTGAAAAACTATATTATTTTCAGTAAAGCGCCTCATATCTGGACAGCCAAAGTAAAAATGACCTCGCTTTGAAGTATGTCTCATTAAAAAGACATAGAAATCCATATTAATATCCTGTAAAACATGTATGCTTAATGAATGTTGATTCAAACATTCATGAACATGCTATAAATCGTATGTAGTGTTTATGTAAGATGTTATGAACGTGTTATGTAGACACTCTTCACATAAAGTATTACTAAAAGATCCTTCACAGAATGGTGTTCCAGGGAATGGTCACATATGCATTGCTTGATGCCTGAGACATTATTTCATGACATTTTTCATAGAGGATTTTGGTCTAAAACGTATTTATTTAAATTCATTCATGGCAGAGAGGTACATGCCAGGTGCTATAAGTCAAAAATGTCCCCAAAGAGAACATTTTTTTCACAATTACCACTTTTTACCATTGTCAAAATTACCTTCACTGGTCATTCTGGATAGTGATAAATTCTCTACATATTATTTGATATTGTGACCTCTGGTTCCTATCACCACCACTGTAAAGAAATCAAGTTACAATGAACCATTTCACGTCAGTCCACTCTGAATGGCTTTGTTTACCGCTCAGTGATTGAATTATGCAAATATTAGTGGAAAAATCAGAGGAACTCTTTTTTTGACAGTGTGCCTGAACCTCCCTACCTGAGGGGGCGCAGTGTCCTGAGCAGTCTGAGAACACGCAGAACGCCCAGGATCTTCGCGCCTCCCGCCATCGACACCACAATGTCAATCAGAGACACAAAGACCAGGAAACCGTCCAGAATGTTCCAGCTGCTGCGTAGGTACGCTCGCTCGCCCAGATACAAGCCCATCGATACCACCTGAGAGAGAGAGAGAGAGAGAGTGGGGGGTGGGGGTTATTTCACACCTTCTAAGAGCTTTCCCAGCATGACTTTCCTCAGTCTAGCAAAAAACACGAGAGATTTTATGAGCATAAAAAAGCCATGTCTGCTTTCAGAAACATTTTGACAGAGTGCCATAGGGGCTTCTAGGAAGGGCTGGTGAGAAACTAATAGGGGGGAAGAGAGAAGCAGACAGACAGGAGAGAAAGAGAGAGAGAGTGAGGCAGAAAGGCCAGTGAGGTGGGAGCTCTGTCAGTGTAAACACCACAACTCCACAACAATTCAATACAAAGTGAATATGATTATTTAGGAAATTCTTCCAATTTTCAGATTTCCCCATGCTGAAAAAATGAATGCATTGTACGTGAATGCATTACATGCGTGCATAATTTACACATGAAAAAAATCGATTAAATCAATATAACTATTGTGAAATGTTAATCAACAGACAGAAAAAAACACTAAACACAATGCATGCCTTTTTCAGTGCATGGCACAATTCAATTCAGTGCAATGTTAATATTTTCATTCAATCCAAAATGATCATTAAAATCCACTGAATACACAAATGTGTCTGGGGAAGCTGTTTAAACTGTGTAATGTGGACTATAAAAGAAATATACTTGTCCTGCACCTGTAACAGCTTTCAAATATCCATTTATCCATGTGGAAAATAACTGTGGAAAATGGTCAGCCCTGATGTGAATGGTTTGTTTTGAAACTTTAACAATGTTTACAGACTTCATCAAACTCTTCTTCTTTCAAAAAGGTGGAAAAAATCAGTTCTCCACAATACGGGCCCTTAATGCAGGATATCAAAACATCTTTCATGTTTACAAATGAATATCTGGGAATGTCAGTGTTTTGTTATGGTGGATAAATTAATGTTTTTTAAAGAGGTTTTACAGGCTGGTTACCACAGTAACTCAGTTAACTCTCCCAGAGCACCGGCCTACAATATGCCAAGCTTTTTTTAGATGCAAAGCATCTCATGGACCTGGGGTTGGATTCACAAAAGTGTTGTAATTAAGAAAATCTTATGAAATGTGCCTTGAGAGAAAATATTAATCTTCAAAAAAACCTTCCCAAGAATTTTCTTGATGTCTTCTATGTTCTTTTCTTAACCTTACGACAGTCTTAGATTGTAAGAATTGATAAGGTGAACTTCTTAAGCTTAAACTTCTTAAAACACATTGGTACAGTAAACCAAGGAGAAATTTTTTGGGCATTTGAAAAGGTTTGAAATGTTTGTTTTGATTTTGTTTGACCTCCAATTTGTTGTCCTGCAGCACTGTTGTTACATTTAACCGCATACTCAAGAAAATATGGTATACTTTGTATTTGTAGCACAATATTGATAGTCTACTTGTCAAATAACTGCCAACATATGAAAAAAAGGTTTCTTAAAAATAAGAGAATATTCTTAAGAGAATATTTGAGAAATTAGGTTTTTATCTGAATTGCATTTAAGAACATATTTCATAGTGTCTGACTTAAGATCCTTCATAGTTTTTTTTTTTTTTTCTAAGGGAAGCGTTCATGAATATAGCCCCAGACTAACTCACTCACTCACATTTAGCAGGCTTAAGATTCATCACAAAGGGGCGCTATTAGCACTCCAGTCACTTTTGTTGCTTTATAGGAATGATGCTTTGCATCAATGACACTATATGTCCTTCTTTATGTTTTACATTTGAAAATAGCCCAAGAATTTTATTTTGGCCAAAACATGAGGTCATACATTATTAAATATAACTACCATTGACTGCAATTATGTATCTCTATAAAAATAAAACTGATTGATTCTACAATCTCTGCAGCTGAGTCGCCACATCCGATGCGTTTTTACACCTTTAGAAGCTCAATGGTGCTTTGACAGCGTTGAGGCCTTCAGCCCTCACACCTCAACTCCACAGTGACTGGGTGGACCACAAACCGCTGGTGCCATGCCAACTGTTGCCACGGCACACTGAGCGGGCGCAGTGCCATGATTGGATTCTGCCATTCAGACATATGATAGTGTCAATAAGCCAACAAAATCGACGTCTCTCTCCGCAGGGGATCGAGAGGTAAACAGAACGCACACTCCCGGCTAGATTTTAGCTTTTCCTTTCCTTCCACTTTTCCATTTTCAGTTTTATTTATCCATATGGTGCTTTTCACAGCAGACATTGTCACGAAAGCCATTTTACACAGCAGGATCCAGAGAGCACAGCGGAGATGACAGGAGCAGGGAAAATTCCCTGAGATACTGAGATGTGCAGAGGCAAATACTTGGGAAGATCCAACACTGAAATGAGGAAACAGGTAAACATATCCTCCGAAGGCAAACATCACATATTGACTGCCAGTAACATAAAAAATTGTATTATATTTGTGCATTGCTTTTAAAAAAGAAAAGAAATTGGATATCATGAAACTGCTTGCAATCTCTCCCACTCTCTCTGTCTCCCTCTCTCTCTCTCTCTCTCTCTCTCTCTCTCATCTCTATCTCTCTCAGTAAAATTCAATATAGTTTTATTGGCTTGACTGTATCAAGCATCATATTGCCAAAGTAAACACATACAGTACTGTGCAAATGTTTTAGGCAGCTGAGAAAAATAGATTTAAAAAGCTTTTTAACTTGCAGTAATTGTTCATTTGCTCTGAAAAATCTCTTATAATACAATAATTTTAATATAATAAGCAGTGAGTTTGTGTAGTGAGAATGTGTTCATTTAACCATTTCAAACTTCTCCTTAAGGCCAGTATTATTTGTAGTTAACACCCAATACCTGTTAATCGTGTTAAATCACGTGTGTTGGTGAATTTATAGATAAATATAATTACTTGGGGCATCCAAGAGAATTTAGGAGCTAAACTTTGTTCATCATTAGTTCACAAGATCTAAATTACTTCACATCACATTCAAGCCAGGTACCTTCGTTGGTTTAATATCCAGTCAAAACAGCCATAAGGAAGCCATAAGGAATTTTTCAGGAGATTAGATATAAGAAAATACACTTGCAAATAGAAGGAGAATGTCAAAAAAGTGAAAAAAGCAGGAGTTTCTAAAACTGGAGTTCAAAAAATTATTATAGGAACTGGCAGCTGAAAGCCTTCATCTTTGAGAGAGAAGAGAAAATTAGGTAGTGCTTTATTTGGATGGTCCACTTTAGATGCTTTGTAGATACTTCATTCACTTTCAAGTTACATTCAGCTAAATGTCTACTAAATTGACCATCATTTTCTCTAAACCTGGCCCAAATCCTAATCCTAACCTTAATCTTAACCCAAAACCTAAACCCAACACCTTGGTCCTAGCCCTAAACCTGGTCCAAATCCTAACCCCACCACTGTTTAGAATCAAGAGGTTCAACATATAGTTTGTTAACAATTTGAACACCTGTAGATGATCTATAGGGGACTATAGTGGATTACCAAAAAAGAGTGAGAGCAAAAATTAAGTTGCTTCAGATCTGAAAACAACCACAGGTGTTTCTGTCCATCCTTGCACTGTCAAAAGACAACTCAGTGCTATGAGTCTGAAACGACGTGTAGCTGTCAAGAAGCCTCACTGAGAAAAGGAGACAGACACATCAAACAAAGCAGCTGCTGGGGTTCTCAGAAGAACAGACTTGACCACCTCAGAGTCCAGGCCTCAACATAAATGAATGTGTTTGGCATTACTTGTATAGACAGAAGAAGAAAATACAACCAACAATACAACTTTTTTAGGTGTGGAAAAGCGTACCTGCAGATTTTTTCGGAAAAAAAAAAGTATCCTGAAAGAATGAAAGCAAAGAGTGGGCACACTAAATATTGATGTTGATTGATGTTATGGTGCCCTGTGATGGATTGGCGACCTGTCCAGGGTGTATCCTGCCTTCCGCCCAATGACAGCTGGGATAGGCTCCAGCACCCCACCGCGACCCAGAAGGATAAGCGGTTTAGATGATGTATGTATGTATGTATGTATATGATGTTATTGTTGATTGTTGGAGCTTCAGTGTAATGTTCTGATGAATATATGTGGTTTTCTGACACTGAGAAATAAATAAAATGTAGTGACCATTTTGACTGGAGACTTGCATCTATATCTTAGAGTATATTATAAACCAAAAATAAACGTCTAATAATAACCTTTCCTATTGCTCTCTCTTTCTCTCTTTCTATCTCTCTTTCTCTTTCTCTCTCTCTCTCTCTCTCTCTCTCTCTCTCTCTCTCTCTCTCTCTCTCTTACTCTCTCTCTCTCTCAGGGCTGAATTAATTTGTTAATGACAGGCTCTGCTGGGCTACCTAATGGAGTGGGGGAAGAATCAGCGAGACCCTGAGAACAGAGCCAGGACAGACACATGACAGACTGCCTATGAGAAATTTAGAGTAATTAATATCATCATCAGCTAATTACTCACTGGGGTTTGGAGGAAGGGAAGAGGAGGAGGAGGAGGAGGTGGAGGAAATGGGAGAGAGACAGAAAGAAAAAGGAGAGGAGAGAAGGAGAAATAGAGGTGATATTATGTTGACAGTTTCCTTTATGTGTCTTTATGGTGACACAATCTATGAGATTAAGAAATAGAAATAAGAAGCCGTTACCTATTTGTAGCACAATTTACAATTCATTTAGAACGTGAATTTAGACTATAGTCCACACAGGGTCATTTTCCTGGACATGGATTAGGCCTGCTCAAGGGCTGCACTGTAACGTCAGTGGAGATTTACAACTGAAAAGCTTCTGCAGCCTACGCTTAGGCTTGATCTGGTTCTGGGAAACAGGCCCACAGTGAATAAGATGAAGGAGTTATTTTCTGCAGTTTATTACAGATCGTTTGCCTTGGAGAGCAAAACCATCTGAGCATGAACAAACATTTCAAACGATATAAGAGACTCGCTATAACACACAGCGTTAACCTCAGAGCCTGAAAAAGCTTATTTGTGGGAAAGTTATTTGTGAGAATTCATCCATAAAGAGGTCCATCTGAGCAAGAAACCATAGCATGTGACAGAGTGGCTAAATTATACATGACTCTAGATTATTAAAAAAGATATTTAAAGCATGAAACAGACATAATACATGAATAAATAATTTTCATAAAACATAGCCTATAAAAAGTTAACACATAAACGTCACCGCTCTCTTAAAAAGCCCAAGAGTAGCATCACACACACACACACACACACACACACACACACACACACACACACACATACAGCTGTATTCCTGGAGGAAACATTGAGTTGACACAGACTGGTGGAGATTTGCACATGTGCAGTGGGGTGTTTACCTTGACCGTCATCTCGGCTACAAAGATGGCAGTGAAGATGTAGTTAGATATGGTAAGGAAGACTCGCTCCTGTAATAAGATAGAGAAAGAGAGTCCATGGAGACAGAAAGATAAAAAAAGAAAGGAAAGGATAAGGGAAAAGGAAAGGAATAAGAAACATTAAAAGAAAAAAAGAAAGGAAAAAAAGAAATGTAAAAAGAAAAAAATGAAAGGACAAGGTAAAAATAAAAAGGAAAGGAAAGGAAAGGAAAGGAAAGGAAAGGAAAGGGAGTATGAAACAGAAAGGAAAGGAAGGGAAAGGAAAGGAAAGGAAAGGAAAGGAAAGGAAAGGAAAGGAAAGGAAAGGAAAGGAAAGGAAAGGAAAGGAAGGGAAAGGAAAGGAAACAGGAAAGTAAAAGGACATTGAAAAGGAAAGGAAAGGAAAGGAAAGGGAAAATGAAAAGGAAAGGAAAGGAAAGGAAAGGAAAGGAAAGGAAAGGAAAGGAAAGGGAGTATGAAACAGAAAGGAAAGGAAAGGAAAGGAAAGGAAAGAAAAGGAAAGAAAGAGGAAAGGAAAAGAAAAGAAAGGAAAGGAAAATACATGAAAGAAATCAAAGGAAAAGGGGAAAGGTAAGGAAAGTCAGTTATCTCTTCTAGCACAGTCAATGTTCTTTTCTATAGCCTTAACAACAGTAAAACAGCACCGTGTCAAATAAATTGCAGAGCAGTGAGCCCCCATTGAGAACGGCAGTGAGAGGGAAAAGTGTGGCTTCCATTCTGACTAATATCCTGCCTTTATTACTCAGGATTAGGGAGTGTGTAAATGTCAGCATGCTCAAGTGGAGCTGTCACTCCAGAGCAGGACTAAAACCTCACAGCTCTAGAACTCTCTGCCAAAGGATTTCGGAACTCACACTCAGCTGAGATATAGATGGAAGGGGATTCTAGAACTTTTCTATTGAGTGAATCAGAACGTTTGTAAACATGAAGGTTGGATGTACTTCCAGGAGCAGAACTCACATACACTCAGTGGTGGAAGAGGCTCATTTTAAGGGGTAGTAAATGCAAAAAGTATAGACTGAAGCAACTTTTGAATAAACTTGCCAGCTCACTAGCCTGCACACTCATATTTATTCTCAGAAATAAATGTAACTGAGAGCATGTTAGCTAGCAATCTGGAGCAGTAAGAAATGGATTTGGACTTTACCTGGAATTAAAACTTATCTTTGATCTGACAGGCTGATTCAATTCCAGATTCATTGGTTTTTTATTCCATTCAAAAACAGTTTTTGTGAATTAATCGATTCAGTACATTAAATGATTCAGCAATTTGCGGCTTCATAGCACTTTAAGTTCTGAGACTTCAATTTCTGTATAGCTTGTGTGCTGTGTACTATTCCAAATAAAGGGCATTGTTGAGTTCTTTGCAGCAACTCCTCCTTTATTCTTCTGTACAATTTCATGCTATCTAAGTGAAATCAGATTGGCAGGTTAGGTATGACGCAAGCGAGCTAAAAGCCAAGACATCTCCGACTGGAGCAGTTGAGTGGCAGCACTTTTAGCTGACTTCACTACCTTCTATGTGTATCAGCATAGGATTACAAGCTAACTGCACTACACAGCACTCACATATACACCGATTAGGCATAACATTATGACCACCTCCTTGTTTCTACACTCATTGTCCATTTATCAGCTCCACTTACTATATAGGTGCATTTTGTAGTTCTACAATTACAGACTGTAGTCCATCTGTTTCTCTGCATACTTTGTTAGCCCCTATTTGCCCTGTTCTTCAGTGGTCAGGACTCCCATGGACCATCACAGAGCAGGTACTATTTGGGTGGTGGATCATTCTCAGCACTGCACTAACGCTGATGTGGTGGTGGTGTGTTAGTGTGTGTTGCGCTGGTATGAGTGGATTAGACACAGCAGTGCTGCTGGAGTTTTTAAACACCTCAGTGTCACTGCTGGACTGAGAATAGTCCACCAACCAAACATATCCAGCCAACAGCGTCCTGTGGGCAGCATCCTGTGACCACTGATGAAGGACTAGAGGATGACCAACACAAACTGTGCAGTAGCAGATGACCTATCGTCTCTGACTTTACATCTACAAGGTGGACTGACAAGGTAGGAGTGTCTAATAGAGTGGACAGTGGAGCAATCTGGAGCAGTAGGAAACGTGAGTGGACTCCAGCAGCACTGCTGTGTCTGATCCACTCAGACCAGCACAACACACACTAACACACCACCACCACATCAGTGTAACTGCAGTGCTGAGAATGATCCACCACCCAAATAATACCTGCTCTGTGAGTGTCCATGGGGCTCCTGACCACTGAAGAAGATGGTAAAAGGGGGCTAACAAAGTATGCATAGAAACAGATGGACTACAGTCTGTAATTGTAGAACTACAAAGTGCACCTATATAGTAAGTGGAGCTGATAAAATGGACAATGAGCGTAAAAACAAGGAGGTGGTCATAATGTTATGCCTGATTGGTGTAGAGTGTCATCTTGATCTGATAAAATTAAATTTAGGATCTGATAAAGATCTGATTTGTAAATCTCTCAGGCTCAGCCATCGCATCTTGTTGAACTTGCCGTCACTGGACAGTTCAACATGTTTGCAGGAGAACACTAACAATTTTCATCTAAAAGACACTTGTTAAGTTATGCAGTGTATGCAAGGCTTTAGATAACAGCTGCTCTCCTTCAGGTCAACTAAACTAAAGCTGTATCAGAGGCATATGCTGTATGTCCAAAAGTATGTAGACACCAGCTTATCCTGTATTTCTTCCTATATCAAAAGTGCCTGTCCTTTGCTGCAACTCCAGCCTTTTCTCTTCTACACTACTGTAGGGTTACATTCCATTACTAAAATCTGGCACTGATTTTGGGTTATTAGGTCTGGATCACAAATGGTCATGCAAGTCATCCCAAAGGTGGAACAATGGTGTTTTAACACTCCATAGAATGTATTTCCACTACATGAAGCTTTACCCCACTCTAACTGACTCTTGGCATTATGCATGGTAATCTTTGCTGAATCGAGATTGGATGCTTGGACACTATTGGAGACTAGTGTAGGACTGAAAAGTTAAAGAGAAAGTTTCAGGAGTATTGTAGGGAGATCCTACCAGACTGCCTTGATGAATCTTGGGTCTTTCCAGAGCCACAGTGATGCAGTTGAGGAAGATGAAGGCCAGCACCACATAGTCAAACAGCTTGTGAGCTATGATCTTCTGGCAAGTCAACCTGAATCTAGAGAGAGACACAGAGACGGGTGAGGAGAGGAAGAGAAAGAATGTGAGCTAACCAGTTACATGCACAGACTGACCCCAAAGGTTTGAGCACCTGCCTTTTTGTCCCCAGACGGTAAATGTGCCCTCCTCATTGTTGTGTGTAATAACTGTATTACTGCTCAAGATCAGGTGAGGCACAGCCTTGACTCAGGAATTGAGTTTGGGTGGCTCAAAATGCAATTTATAGCTATTTCAGTCTAAAGGGTCACTGGCTAGGCTGAACTTCACCCCATTCCAGACACCTCTGAATGAGAGCAGCCAAAACGGCAGCAGGGCCAGTGTTCCCCTAGATGAGGCATCCATCCACTGTCAAACCTCACCATAGCAACTAGGTTTGACCCTCTAAGCTCCCTAGTTTTAGCATAACCCTCACCAGAGACTGGTAATACCTGGGAAAAGAGCACTATGCTTACATATTTGAGACGATTTCTCAAAACTTGTGCCTCTGTAAGATACCCAACCTCTTAATGGAGTTTTTGCACTCAGCATTATTACTCATCTAGCTTCAATGGCTATGTGCAAAGTAGTGCAGAATGCTGCACCCTGAGGCGAGGTAACACGGATGGCTAGCATGAATTTATGATGAATTCAACTAAACAAGTTCTTTAAGTATTTTTAAGCCCTTAAATGGCCAGGGCCCACTGGTGTTACACGCTTCTATAACCTAAGAATAGCTCTGCCAGTTTGCATTAAGTTACTATAGTTATTGAGTAAAAAGCTTTACACTACAAAAACTAGCATCTTGTCAAGTAAAATCATCTTAAATCTAGTCAACAAATCTAATATTTCTCCTGTTGAGATTGTTGTAGACTTATAGTAAGAGTATTTAACTTATTTCCTTATTTCCTTTTTTTACTTATTTTAAGTGAAGTAAAATTATCCCACAATATTGGCATATAATGTTGCTTGTTTTAATAAATGTAAGAAAGAAACCAGCAAGATTATCTGCCAATACAGTAAGATAAAAACTTTCTTGACAAAATTACTTAAAACAGGTACAAATATCTAGAAATAAGCTAGATAATCTTATAATAAATGCACAACCATCTCAAAATAAGAAATGTATCATTTAACGACTTGAATTAAGATAGTTTCACTTGACAAAATACCATTTTTTGCAGTGTAGTGTGTAATATGCCCAGGATTTTAAGAGTTGAATGACTTTTTTTGTTTCTTTTGGTCTTTGTTGATGGAACATGCTGTAGTTTGGGCTCGAATTTTCATGGCTTGAAGTTCCCAAATACTGAAAAGAGAACTGATTCTTAACGTAATAAGCGAGTACACTGGTATTCCAACTGTTTGGGCATTTGGGTTCTTGGATCGGCTTTGCTGCGTGAGGTATAACTGCCTTTGGAGATTTTGGCTGAGTCAACTCTGACCAGTCAGGGATAATGCGCATGTTTGAAACCCCACCAATAATATGTCTTTGAGAAACCATCCCATTCCAAATGTTCCATAAGTTATCTGAGACAACAACCAAACGTACAGAAAGGGGTGCTGCTAATTTGCTAAATCAAATTTTCGTTAATGTAAATATGAATTTATTGAAGGCAGTTTGGACCTGTTAAAGAATCCAACAGCTTATACATTTTTTTTTTTTTCACATGCTCTTAGAAATGGGATTAAATTATGTATACATCTACTGTATACGGGATGGTGGGGTTCAATTCCCTGCTCAGTCAGAGATGCCAACAGCTTAGTCTGCCTTGTGAAAGATTAACATTATGTTTTCCTTCCTCTGAAACATGATTAGACTGTTTGTCTGTATATTAAACTGCATTTGATTCATGTTCAGTCTGCCAGTTTTTTTCCCTTGAGCCTTTTTCCCCCCAAACTGTCTGTGGAGCCAACACCTCACTTCAACCTTGGTGGCACTTGTTGACACCAATGAAACTGTCTCACACCTCAGCCCCACAGGCATACTATCAACAGTGTGAGGCAAAGGACGAGACTAGAATAAGCCACTGAACTGTAGGGCAGAGACTCCATTAAAACAGGAGTCCAAGTTCCCCTAGCAGAGGTGAGTAGAGTAGCCTAAATCCATATCACTGCTGTTGGAACAGTACCTTGTATGTCTACTTGTGTCATTTTTCAGTTTTCGGTATATTTTGAAAATGCCTGTTGCCTTTTACATTGTGTACAGATTTCATGATGAATGGACCAAAAGAACTGACCCAAAATGACTTGGGAAAATGTCTGGTTCCATTGACTTACATTGAAAGCAAAGTATGTTTTTTCCTCCTTCTGTAAAGTTACCAAATTGGAGATACAAGGTTTTGTTCTGACAACAGCAACCTGCAAAAGTCTCGGTACTTCACTGAAATGATGACTCAAGAAGAAGCAAAAGAAGAATAGCAAAAAAAGAACCTGAGTAGAAGTAAATACCCATCACATTAAAAATACGGAAACAAATAACCTTTAATATTAAGAACCTTATATCACTGAAGTTGAACGTCTAAGAACATCCAGCACCTATAACCAGGCATGTAACATTCAGGTTCTGGAGGGTCACAGCCCTGCCGAGATTAGTGTTTATACTGTTCTAACACTCTGAATCCATCTCAGGAAGGTTGTGCTAATTAGCTCAGTTGAGAGGAAGCAGGTGTGTTAAATCAGGTTGAATGTTAAACTCTGCAGCACTATGGCTCTTCAAGGCTGCAGCCTGACACTCCTCATCTACAGCATAGGAAATGAAGTGTGTTAGGTGCTTTTTCCCATTTTTTGGGGTATTTTTTGTCTAAAATAAAATGGCAAATGCTTAAAAAAAAAGCTGTCAGCCACTTCATGGGAGTCCAAGTCAATCTTCGAGTCTTAAGCAGAGAATTTTTAGTTTAGTCTTATTATTAGCTGCATGCAGAGCTTCAAATAACAAACCTTTCACTTTAGAAGAACCTTCAGTCTGAAGGACAGAACAGAGGTGCTACATGTATTAAATGTGGTGCTTAAAGGAAAGAGGCAAAATAACTTGAAACGGTGGTCTAGTTTGTAGTTAGTATGGCAAGTAAATGCTAATTCTGCTGAGGTTTTTAAGATAAGTGATCTGTAACTTATTAAAACTTCAGATAGATTAGCTGGGAACTTCAGCTAAATTAGCTACTGGACTACTTCTACAGACGACTTCTAGATTTCATTGCTTGCTCGTGTTCACTTTGTATATAACGGAAATGTAATTAACATATATGCTAATGCTGAAATATCATTATTGGTTGATGCATATTTATACTTTTAAAACATAAACAGCATGACTTCTTTCATCATGTCGACAATGCCTGACAACAAATAGAGTATTTGACCTTACACACTTAAAAATGACGGCTCTTTGGTAAAGAAAATGGTTCTATATAGAACAATCAGGACTCAAAGAACCCTTTGCATGATTAAAGGGTTCATTGCATCATAAAAGGGTTCTTTAGATTGACAGAGAATGTGCTGTAGATGGTTCCGTATAGAACCTTTCCTGATGCAAAGGGTTCTCTGAGTGTTCTTGGCTCTTTGTAAAACCATTTTTTTACTAAAGAACCATCTATTTTAAGATTGTATTGTTATGATGTCAACTTGTAACAGTAGTAGAACCCTCTTTGGTGCTACACAGAACCATTTTCAAAAAGGTTCTATAAAGAACCATGTACAACACATTCTCCATCAATCTGAAGAATCATTGCACCATGTAAAGAACCACTTGAGCATGAAATGATTCTATATAGAGCTCATGATTCTAAATAGAACCACTGCCTTTACTAAGAACTCTTGAAGAGCCACCTTTTTTAAGTGTATATTTTAAAGGGACTTGCAAAGCTTTTGCAGCTTTAACTAATAAGCACATAAATCTTTTTCGTCTACAGCGAGTTTGCCTGACTGTTGTCGCTTGATCTAAACATGGCATTGCCCATATGAGAACCCTTACAGGCAACGACAAATCACTTTTACGCATAGTGATTAGTTTTTTGGGGGGCATAAACATCACTTTTTGCTCCTTTAGGTCTCGAGTCTTAGCAGAGTTGTGAGTCAGTCGTCAACTGACTTGAGACCCCATCTCTGGTGTGGGCAACACAAAGCAAGCCAGGAGCTGAACCAGCACAGCAGAACAAGATAAAACCCAAAAGGAGAGACGGCTCAGTGTGATTGGTCAAAGTCGAATTTAGCATTTTAACTGCATGAAATGTTAAACTGGGGTTACACTACTCAACGTTTACCCCGATTTCAGCCCCGATTTTCAGTCTGAACGAGTCTGTGCTGGTCAGCTCTAGTCTGCAGATTTTTGGGTCAGTTGGAGTCGACAATTGGAGAGAATCGAGTCGTGTGTGAGGGACGCACACTCAGATTTTTGGCCTCCCGATCATGTTTTAGACCAGCTGGAGTTTTTCAAACATGTTTGATTCTTTGACCCAACTCTGAGCTTAATCTAGTGTAAACTGGTCAACGACTCAATCTGAACAGACTCCTGCAACAGCCAATAGAAACTGAGGGCATGAAAGAAGAAAATACAGCAAGTAAACAAAGAAAAATGGTGAGAAGTCACTCATATGTGGAGTTTAAGGCATGAGCACAATCGAGTTTATGTACATTTAAAACTCTAAAAAATTTAAATCCACATTTAAATCCATGAGCCTCATTTAAACATGTTTACCTGCTGCTTCTTTACTATGTCAGCGCAAACTACTCGATTCATGTTAATAGCTTATTTATCAATAAAAATGCTGAAAGTCAATGAGTTTCCTTGTATGAATATCACTCTTCTCTTTCATTTTCTTTCTTTTCTGTGCACAATAAAATTAGCACTTCATAAGTATTCATAGGTGTTGTCATAAGAATAAGCCTCTCTGCTCCTCTCTCTGAGGACTCTGCAGAAAGTGACAGCAGTGACTGAAAGCTTCACCTGTTCTCCCCGGGGCTTGATCAATACCCTAATCAAGCTGCAGAAGCCTTCACTGCCAAGGCCGAACCTACCGCACCATCAATATCCCAAACACTCGGGAGGCCTGCACATCGGACTGCTCCAACCAGCTCTGGTTTCTGTTTCCATCCCTCTCTGTGTTTTTTCTTTCCTCCAATTCTCAATCTCTTCTGCCACAGACAACTTAAAAGTCACTAATTATCAGCAATATTTTCACCATTAATAATGCAGATCGCTAATATCAGACATTCAATATATTAGTCAGGCTCTAGTTTGACCTTTGCTTCTTTAGTTTTGCAGTGGACCCACCAGGATACATTTGGACACACGCGAAACTTAAGAAGTACCAAAGACACCAAACATGACTTGGATGATCAATTACATTTAAAGTAAGGTGGAAATTATGTAAATCAGATTTTTGATGCTTTCAGTGGTCAGTGTCTACCAAAGCATCGTTTAGTTGACTGACAGGTTTTGCTATTTCATAATCTTTAAGTTCTAAACAATTATGGCTCTTCAAGGGTTCTTTAGTAAAGAAAATGGTTCTATATACAACCATAAACATTCAAAGACCCCACTGCATGATTAAAGGGTTCTGTGCACCATGAAAGGTTTCTACAGATTGATAGAGAATGTGCTGTGCAACATTTTTGAAATTGGTTCTATATAGCACCAAAAAAGGTTCTTCTACTGGTGCAAGCATGACATTGCAAAAGTGGAAGAATCCTTTTTGGTGCTATACAGAGCCATTTTCAGAAAAGTTCTATACAGAACCATCTAGAGCACATTCTCTATATAGATCCATGAACACTCAAATAACCCTTTGCATGACTAAAAGGTTCTTTGCATCTTGAAAGAGTTCTTCAGATTGAGAATGTGCTGTAGATGGTTCTATATAGAAAGGTTCCATATAGCATCAAAAAAGATGCTTCTATTGGTGTAAGCTTGACATTGTAACAGTAGAAGAACCCTTTTTGTTGCTATATAGAACCAATTTCAAAAAAGTTCTACATAGAACCATCTACAGCACATTGGCTATATAGAACCATGAACACTCAAAGATCTCTTTGCATGATTAAAGCGTTCTTCAGATTGATAGACAATGTGCTGTAGATGGGTCTATATATAACTTTTTAAAATTGGTTCTATATAGCACCATAAAGGGTTCTTCTATTGGTACAATCCTGACATCACAACAGTAGAAGAAACCGTTTTGGTGCTATACAGAGCCATTTTCAGAAAAGTTCTATATAGAACCATGTAGAGCACATTCTGTATATAGAACCATGGACACTCAAAGAAGCCTGTGCGTGATTAAAGGGATCTTTGCATTGTGAAAGGGTTCTTCAGATTGATGGAGAACGTGCTGTAGATGGTTCTATATAGAACCTTTCCGAAAAAGGTTCCACATAGCATCAAAAAAGGTGCTTCTATTGATACAAGCTTGACACTATAACAATAGAAGAACCCTTTTTGGTGCTGTATAGAATCATTTTCAAAAAAAAAGTTCTAAAAAGAACCATCACAAGCACATTGGCATAGAACGATGAACACTCAAAGAAACTCTTGAATGATTGAAGGGTTCTTTGCATCATGAAAGGGTTCTTCAGATTGATGGAGAATGTGCTGTAGATAGTTCTATATAGAACCTTTCCGAAAAAGGAATAGATATATATATATATAGAACCATCTACAGCACATTCTCCATCATTTTGAAGAACCATTTGATGATGCAAGGAACGCTTTAATCATGCAAAGAGTTTCCTGAGTGTTTATGGTTCTATACAGAACCACTTTCTTTACTAAAGAACTTGAAAACCCATAATTTTAAGTAAGTGAGTGTAGGAGAGCTAACATTGTTTCACAACCTTCATCTTTTTCATTTTCACCTGCAAATCTTCTCTGCGTTCAGATTCCCTGAGTAGTAGACACACTTAAAGGTTCTCGGGGTAACAACACATTGTGTGGACTTACTTGTTCTGGGGAGAAAACAAGTAGACAGACCAGTCCTCCCTCGTTTCGCACCAGTCAGGCCTGTACGCCTCGATCATCTTCTGGATCCGAAAACACAGGCTCTTCAAAAAAGATCATAGGGAGAATGAGTCAGTAAATACACATACGCATTCAAGCACAGAATAAAACTATGATTAACTATTCAGCAAGCCAAACCGCAGGCAATCTTATTTCAACAAACATGTCATTTTCCTGCACAGCACATTCCATTAACTTCAATAGAAAGAGTCAAAGAGTCAGATGAGCCGTCTTCTACAAACACTCCTATTTATAAGTACAATCTGCTCCAAACTCGAGACCTAATAATGCTCCATTATCACTCCAAAAGTCAATTTTCACTCCCTCTGAAATGTCTTAGTCAGTATCAATAATTTCCTTTCACAGCAGAAAGCGGTCTGAGTGTTTGTAATGATTTGCTATTATGTGCAGTGACAGAGGGAAATCTGATCGTTGCCTTACAGTCATCAGAAAAGCTATTCTTACACTGAAGAATGCGCAGCAAAAATAAAACAGCCACAAGCAAAAACAGCGTCCCATTAAATTCAACAAGTAGCCCATGCAAGACGCTGCAATGCTGTGGACAGCGCATGGCACGACTGGCGTTATTATAGGTTTACTAGAGGATGATGTGTTCAGTAAATTAAATGAGATGAATGTACAGGAATGACACAGCAGAGCATACAGATATACTGATTACTGTTACTAATGAGTAGCAATACAACTTTCTAATATAATGTGCATAGATACACACTTCAAAAAGATGGTTCTTCAAGGGTTCTTTGGTAAAGGAAATGGTTCTATATAGAATCATGAACATTCAAAGAACCTTTTGAAAAGGGTCCTATATAGAACAAAGAAGGGTTTTGCTATTTTTATGAAGAAGAACCCTTTTTGGTGCTATATAGAATGTTATTCTATACAGATCGAAATCCAAACATTGCATTATGTCATGCTATGTTGGTTAGGACCCTTACATAACTACATATAACAAATGTTAGGGAAGATCTTTGTTTATGTTATGTATTTCTGAAGAAAAAAAGAATATTGAAATATCTGAATATCAGATATATCTGAGTTTTAAATCCTCAGATATCAAAATCTGTATCGGTCTTAAAAATCCTATATTGGTCAGACTCTAAGTCAAAAAAGACCTTACAGAAAAAATTAAACAGACCTAAGAAGATCATTTGCACTAGAACACCAAAACTGGACATCTGAGATGCTTTTATGGACTGAAGAGTGTAAATTTTAATTGGGATTGTTCGGACTGTGAACCTAAGGCAGATTTTTCTGAAAAGAAAAAGAAGTCTTTTAAAAAAGAATGGTATGTGCAAAGGTGAAAGGTGGACAAATACAGAAAAAGATATACTTGGTTATTAAGCCTGCAGTGGTCAGTGTTGGTGTTGAACAATGAATAGTTTGTAGAAATTAAATTTATATTGTGATGTTTTCCACTGATAATAATCATAGGTTCATTTTTATAAGCATGTTAAAGTTAATAAAGTATAAAGTGGTTCCTTCTTAACAAAATACAAGCAAACACTATAAGACAGCTGAAAGCTTTCTGTTCTTTTTTTGTGTAAATGCAAACATGCACTCTAGTAGCTTCTTCAGTTCCCTTTTATGGAATTAGTTCTTCGTCGTTCTCTCCAACTAACGCTCCTCTTGTTTGTTTTTACCTCCTCGCTCATCCCCAGCTCTGTTTTGCACTTTGTAGTTGGTCTCCAAAATAATACTCCACTGTTTGCTGTATCTAACAAAGGCAGCTTGCTATTCCATGTCTACTTCTCTGCTGCGCCTGTTGGATGGGTTTGAGCTGATTCATCTTTTCTCGTCTTGTGTAGGTAAAAACAGACAAATTAAAGAAGGTAAAATTTGCTTCTTTAGCTTTGCTGGAGCTAAAAAGCAACTGAAATGTATGTATATTTAGTATTCTGAACTATTTTGAATTACAGTCTATCAGCTGAACTGATCTGAGTTGAATGAGTGTAATAAAAGTTGAATCAAACTTACATAGTCTGTCTCCTCATCAATGTGGGGCCTGTCCTTACGGGCGTTCAGCTGTGGGTAAACTTCGCTCAGCAGCGGGGCCCGAGGGCCCGGTGCCTTCCCATTACAATCCTGGTGCTCTCCAGAGCCGTGGTCCCCACAGAAGCTCTTCTTTCTGGTCAGAGGGGGGCGCTGCAGGGGGGGTCCAGGCAGCTGGAAGCACTCAGGCAACTCCAGGGAGAGAGCGCGGCGGTCCCGGCGTGGGGGGAGGCGGCGGGATAGGAGAGGGGGAGGGTGAGAGAGCTGGGGAGGAGGGGACAGAAGGGATTCGCGTTCAGCTGGGTGGGAGTGAGGGCCACGGACCCTCAGGCTGCCTCCTACAGTCAGCCCACGGGAGGTACGACCCATGCTATTCCAACTGGAGCGCCGACTCCAGGCAGACTGAGGGTGATGGCGCCCCCAGTGGCGGTACAGGGAACTGCGGCCGTGACGCTGTGGGGAAGAGAGAATGGAAGTGAGGACGTATGTTTTAAAGCAGTATTTTCAGGCATCAGGATGACTGTTAGTACTGTTTTTATCTCTAATACTTTCGTTCAAATGTCAATATATCTTTGCTGATAGATTACATAACTGTGTAAAGCCTATAACTGTATAAGACCCAGGGCTATAGGTCTATCCCGCACAAATACTCTCAACATGAATTTATTATTCTACCTATTCTGTTGCATGAATGTAGACACTTAACGTACCTTACAGGCCTTCTGGGTTCACCTGTGTCACAGTCAAAACACTAAAAGTAAACACTACATAATTCCTCTTTCATCCATTGATTTATTGAATAGCCTTTGGCTTTATCCACTTTAGCTCATTAAAATCTGCTGCCATACTAAAAGTATTTGGCCACAGTAAAATGGATCAGCATGTGGAACTGGAGCATTCTGTGAACTACCATGTTATCTGTCACTGTGTAAAAGAGGCACAATGCTGTCTGTAGTGTTGGATGCATGCTTTAGAGTAATAATAAAATGTAGACTGAATTGTGAACTGTATGCCTACGTGCTTGTTTTCTTCTATGGCTGAAACAATTATTCAAAGTTATCAATAATTGGCAGTAAAAAATGTTGATATATATATCCGCCGGCCACAAAAATGCATCCATTGTGAACTCACCCCCTCTAGGTCTCATGCACAGCACTGCTTTATTGCCTCAGTATTAAAGGGCCCATATAATGGGAGGCTATGTAAATTTCTCTTACTTTTTTATGTTAAACTTGGTAAAAGTTTCAAAATGTACCTAATCTTTATAGTCCATACATAGCAAAATCAGCCAGATTTCAATTTCCTGTTTCTGTGATGTCACACAAAACCACACATTTACACATCATCTCTGTCTTGTATTTCAAAAATAATAAGAGAACGAAAAAAAAAAACTTTTCTTGTTTGATTTTTTTTTTTCCAAGTAATTCTGGACAACGTCTATTGTTCTGTTCATCATGAAAACAAACTAAAAAAAAATGCTGCTGGAGTTTTAAAACACCTCAGTGTCACTGCTGGACTGAGAATAGTCCACCAACCAAAAATATCCAGCCAACAGCGTCCTGTGGGCAGCATCCTGTGACCACTTATGAAGGACTAGAGGATGACCAACACAAACTGTGCAGCAGCAGATGAGCTATTGTCTCTGACTTTACACTTACAAGGTGGACTGACTAGGTGGGAGTGTCTAATAGAGTGGACAGTGAGAGAACTACAAAGTGCACCTATACAGTAAGTGGAGCTGATAAAATGGACAATGAGCGTAGAAACAAGGAGGTGGTCATAATGTTATGCCTGATCCGTGTATGCACCTATTCAGCCAACAGCAGTTTAGCTCCACCCATTCACTGTTTTTAGATATTTGAAAATGTTCATGTAAACATGAATTGCTGTTTTTGGTACATAAAAGCACACAAACAATACAAATGGTGTTCAAGGAGAAAAATAAAGCACAAAAAAGTGTAGACTATGAGCCTTTTAACCCCTTAAAATCCCAGGCTTATTACATATCAAGGCAAATTATTGAGCAACTACAGGGACAACAGTGCAAACTGGCTGAGCTTTTTTTAGGTTATGGAAGTATGTAATAAAACTTTGGGCTTGTGCGTGGGCCCTGGCCATTTAAGGGGTCAAATGGATAGTGTCGTGCCATTTCAACTTTAATCAATCAAGCCAGTCTCTACAAGCAGTGACAACGTATCATAGGATTCTGGGGGCCGAATAAAAGGATTGTGTCACATTAGTTACAGTGACTACTATGAAACAATGGCTTATGGTGAGAGGGACTATACACTCAGTTCTTCAACCACGCACACTTATTCGCAGCACAGAGATAATTGCAGGCTGCATATGTTGGATGTAACTGAGGACAATTGTCCATATTTAGCACCAGTGGAGGTAAAAAGGCGGTTGCCATAGAAACCTTGTTAACCGTTATTAAGTCATCTAAATTTGCTTTAAAGCAGGAGGAGATGTTTATGCGGCAACAGGAAACACAGCACCCATACATGGTACTCGCTGTCGCATTAAACACTACAACAGGCAACTTTGAACTCAATTCACAATACTTATGAATGACGCTTGCTGTCTTGAAGGAAACGATTCAAAACGCAGGAACAGCCGGAACAATGGCTGAAAAAAACAAACAGCGGGCCGCTGAGTGGATTTACATGGGGAGATTTTGCGCAGTGACTCATGCGTCGTGAATGGAGCAGACACTGCGATTGATTAGCCATTCAGTGCTGCCATTTCAGCGTGTGGCCCTGCGCTGTACTGCATACACGCTTCTATTTCAAAAGCTCAGATACTAACAGCTCCCAGCCTAACTCTCGTGATCTCCCAAGCTAGTGCGTCACAACACTATATTTAAACCATCGAGCACTCTCCTTCTCTCTCTCTCTCTCTCATTCTATATCTATCTCGCTCTCTCTTTTTTCCCTCAGTTCTCATGGCTGCCTCAATTAAAGAGGAGTTGCTATGGAAACCTCACAGCCATGGCTAGGCTTGGCACCCCACCAGGGGAATTTTGGTCCTGCAAACATGCACGCACACACATGTCCTGGACACTCACAGACCGCGGCGGGGCAGTCTCTGGCTGAGCGATTTCTAATCAAAGCAATAATTATCGCAAATGTTTCATTGACTCATTAGCGACGTGTGATTTCCCAGCAGAAGCAGACTGCACACACACACATGCACACACACAGCTAATGATAATCACACACACAGTTGGATCACAGGTGGCAGAATTAAACTCTGTCTGGGGCTCCATCAGCCATTTACATTCATCAGTGCCTTCAAGGACGATGGCCATATCCAGCACTCAGTATCAATAAAACAAGCCTCGATTAGGGGTGCAAGTCTTTGAGCTGACAGCGAATTGATTCAATTCATGACTTTTTGGCTTTTGATTAAATTTTTGTGAATTAAGAAAGATTCAATTTGATTCTATACATGAAACAGTAATTTGATTGAGCAATTCAGTTCAGTGATTCAAGCAGTTCCATCAGCCATTTACATTCATCAGTGCCTTCAAGGAAGATGGACATAACCAGGGCTCAGTATCAATAAAACAAGCCTCGATTAGAGGTGCAAGTCTTTGAGATGACAGTGAATCGATTCAATTCACGACTCTTTGGGTTTTGATCCAATTTTGGGGAATTAAGAATGATTCAATTTGATTCTAAACAAATAACAGTGATATGATTCAGCAATTAGATTCAGCAATTCAAGCAGCTCCATCAGCCATTTACATTCATCAGTGCCTTCAAGGACAATGGTCATATCCAACACAGTATCAATTAAACAAGCCTCGATTAAGGGTGCAAGTCTTTGACCTGACAGCGAATTGATTCAATTCACGACTTTTTAGGTTTTTGATTCTATTTTTGTGAATTAAGAATGATTCAATTTGATTCTATATACTAAACAGTAATTTGATTCAGTGATTCAAGCAGCTTTACGAATTAATTTAATAAAAGCATTATTATATACTTATACTACGAAAAAAAATATTAACGTAATGAAGTAATGACATTTAATTTCTGAGAAATATTAGGGGAAGTCAATTAGTTCACTGTAATGTATATATCACTATTGTCGGCAGAAAACCTCGTATCTCCAAAATGGTAAGAGGAGAAGGAAAAAACGTACTTTACTTTTAAGCCAATGGAACCAGATTTTTTTCCAAGAAATTTTGGGTCATTTCTTTTGGTCCATTCATCATGAAATGTACACACAATGTAAATGGCCACACATTTTCAAATTATGTCACAAACTGAAAAATGACAAAAATGGAGTCAAAGTACTGTTAAATTATGGTAACATTTTACAGTCAATACCCGTTTTCCGAAAAAGGTTAAATGCATGTAGCTATTTCCCAAAAGTTGAATGAGTCACATTATTTCAGTCTATTTCTGTCTATCATAACAAAGGTGATTCCAAAGGAACAGGAGCTCTAAACAGGCTAAACTGTGAGGGCACAGACCACGCGCACAATACAAATACGACGTGTCTATGCATGAACCAAACAAATCTAAATGTTAAGCCAGAGATGCCATGGAAAAAAAATTAAATCTAATATTTTTGTCCCCAAAATACTGGCTGATTAAAATGATGTAGCCACAGCAGTTCTACATGCTTGTCAAGAAAGAAGGCTCATACTTTGGGTAACATTTTTCCGAGAATGATTTTTCATTAAGTCTTTCCAGGCTCTGACAGTAATGATCCTGTGGTGGTGCCTCCTCTGCTGCTCCGCGTATAGAGGCTGCTGTTAAGGGCGCTGCAGCACTTTAATTGTTCTTTGACTTCAAGTTCAGGACAGTATTTTTTCATAGACCTTTGTTTGGCACTTTGCAGTGTCTCCTCCTTCATTCTTCCACATAATATCATACTCTGCAAGTGAAAACAGGGTGTCTGGTGATTCTCAGTGGTATTAAAGTAATTAAACTCAGCCCTAGTTATATATGACTAATCTGGCCTCTACTGCAGTGGTTCGCAAACCACTCACAGACCCCACATTTTTGTTCTATCCCAATGCATTGCGAATTGGGTTGGAGCACAAATGCAGACCATTTTGGCGTCCCTGAGGACCGGTTTAAGAACCAATTCTCTGCTGGACATGCTGGTCGAAGCAGGATCACCACTACATTCTCTCTCTCTCTCTCCCTACTGTGCAAATAAGCCAGGTGTGAAGCAAAAATAGTCAAAAAGCTCCCAAAGACTGCAATTAAAGTTTGAGACATTAAGCCACTCTGCATGCTGCAATCCTCTGGCTCACACCTCAGAATTCACAATCACACTAATCCAAAACAAGTTACTTTAAAAACTTTGGGAAAAAAATTACAGGGTTTGCAGACGAGGACATTTAAAGGACATTTGTATAGTTTTTAAACCCCTTAAACTGCAGGTTTGTATGAATGTGTGTATGAAGCATACATTTATACATACATAAGCCAGACCATGATGCTGCTGACACATGCACTCATTGTGGCTTAGGTTTTAAAGGGTTAATGTAACATTATATAATACAATATAATATATTTTGTTAATGTGTAAATGTTGTACATGTTTGAATCAAGTCATTTCAATGCATCACTTTTGTCTGTGTATTCATGGTAAGACTTATTAATTAGTAACTACTATGTAACTAATATTTCGGTGACACTTTATTTCAAGTGGTCCTTTTTAGATGAAATAAGCCCTCAACAGACTCTGAGTAACATATCAACAACATGATGTAGCAGCAGTGAATACATTCAGTAGATTATGAAGGGACTTTAAATTAACGGTGTAAATAAAATTTGTTCATAATCTGCTGAATTCAGTTGTTTTTTTAGTTTATTTGTTGAGTCCAAATTCATATCTGTAGATGTTTTACCTAAGAGGTCATTGAACACATAACAGGTCTAATACAGACCATCTAAACATCCTCAACACGCTGTTATAGACACACTGACACCATTCTGTAACTGGAGCTTCACTGGATTAGGGTATGGTTAAGGTTAGGGTTAGGATTAGGACCAGGGTGAGGGTTAGGATTAGGGCCAGGGTGAGGGTTAGGATTTGGTTCTGGGTTGAGGTTAAGGTTAGGTTTCGAGTAATGTTAGGTTTTGCTTAACTGATGTAACACATTAAGTCTACTTCATGTAACATATCAACAATGCATATACTTAATATAAGTCATATATGAGCAGTACATCTTCAAGATATTTACTTCAATGTGTTCAGATGCTTCACTACTGCTACTTCACTGATATGCTGTTGATGTGTTACTGGTAATCTGTTAAGAGTTTATTAATCATCTACAAATGACCACTCCAAATAAAGTGTTACCAATATTTCTATAGTTATGAGAGTGAGGCATTGAAGTGTGGGACTCACCTGCTGCATATTACAGCACAGTGTCATATATTGATATGTGTTATGACAAGTCCTGCGATGGACTGGCGACCTGTTCAGGATGTATCCTGCCTTCCTCCCAATGACCGCTGGGATAGGCTCCAGCACCCCTCCATGACCCAGAAGTATAAGCGGTTTAGAAAATGTGTGAGTGTGTGTGTGTTATGACAAATACATTATGTTGAGGAAGTACAAAAAGTACTTAAAAGTGCTTGAGTGCCTAATGAAACTGGCCTCTCCATGTTTCTGACAGTGTTTGCAGAAGGCCAGTATCCGCAGATCTAAGATTACATGGTAGAAAATAAACAGAGAAACCGTCTGTGTGGCATGCGGGTGCTTTAAACTAGTAAAAGAGCTTTAAAATCTACTCTAAAAGATACAGGTAGCTAGTACAGTTCTGAGGAGCTCTCTTTCCTGTTGTTATGGTCCGTGCAGCTGCATTTTGTGTGAGTGGTAGAGAATGGACTATTCTCTTAGGAAGTCCAGTAAAAAGAGGATGACAGTAACCAACTCTGCTTGTAACAAATGCATGAACAAGTTCCTCCGCGTCGCTCTGGGATGCCAAAGGCTGAACTTTATAGTTCTCAAATGATACAAAGCTGCATTTACCACAGACAATAATTTTGACATGCTTTGCAGAACTTAGAAAAGAACAGAAAACTCACTGACTCGAGAAACACCTATAATAAAAGTCAATGGACAGGTGCTGTAGGTGCTTTGCTGTTCTTTTCAAAGAGCGAAGAATTACCATCTGTGTTAACTGACCATATGATACAGCTCTGGGCATTTAAAACTGAAAAATACTTAAGATTTAAATGAGCAACAACACTGATGACAGATTGACAGACTATGATGGACATGTCGCGCTCACCAATGAGAAAGAGCGCTGCTCCAGGCTGGTTTTGCCCAAACTGGTGACGCTGCTCTTATGGGATTCTTCTTCAAAACTCCTCCTGCCTCCACCCACAGGGTTCAGTTCCAGATGTCCATTTGGGGTCAAAGCACACAGTTTAGGATCTGGTGGACAACATGATTCAACATCAGTCAATACAAATGAAAAAAACACATGCATTCACTGTCCACTTTCTGAGCTCCTTTTACCTTACAGGTCCACTATAGGTGTACAGTCTGTAATCTGTCACTGCACGAATAATCGCTGGTCAGTTTCTTACCGCAGCATTGCTGTCGGTCAGATATTTTTAGGTGGTGGAACATTCTCAGCACAGCAGTGGCACTGTCATGGTAGTGTTGCTGCAGTTTTTACACATGTCACTGTCACTGCTACAGGTTGAGAGTGAATCACCACCAAAAAATATCCAGCCAAGAACAGCTCTGTCCTCTGTGGTCAGAAACTGGCAACTGGATCTCTAACACAACCTGCACATCAACAGATGAGCTACAGTCTCTAATTGTGAAGCTACAAGGCAGGAGTTTCTAATAAAGTGGCCAGTGCATTAACAATACTGTTTAATGCTGTTTAATTTTCATCAAAGGGGAATTCCACCAATTTTTCAAAAAAATCTGAATAATTCAGGCTTTGAGATGTCAACACAGCCATTCAGACTGAATTCATGTGAAGTGGTTCAGTGTAGAGGAACTTACTGACTCAGATTTGACATGTAAGTTTACTGGCAAAACTACCAGAGAACCCACATGTGTCTTCTGAGTTTTAATATGTAAATGTTAATGATGGTAAAATAGTGTTAAATTTGAAAAAAATAAGTGTTTTTTGAAGGCTATTCTGCCTCACAATGCCCTGAATGTAACTCTCTGCCATGAATGTATTAAAATAAATAGATTAAAACACATTTTAAGTCAAACTTTCAATACAAAATTACCATAAAACAATGTATCAGACCTCAAGCAGCATATATCTGACCACTCCATTTAATAGCTTTCAATGAGGGAGCTTTCAGAAGGCATTAAACTCTTCAGACGTCTGGTTCCTATCACCACCACTGTGAACAATTGTGACTCTAATTTCTCTCGAACAGAGCATTTTACACCAAACCACTCTGAATGACTTTGCTTTACATCTCAACCCTTGAGAGAAACTAGGGAATCCCTGACTGATGGGGGCAGTTGTGGTGGTCTACCAGGTCATTATAATATATATATATATATATATATATATATATATATATATATATATATATATTTACTTTTTTTGACTTTCCCCCTTCTTTAAAGAGCTGGATCATCCAGTCTCCTCACAAATACCTCCTGAAAAATTAATAATCCATACTTAATGGCTGTTTTGACTGTATATTAAACAAATGAAAGCTCGGTCTCAGATTTTTGCACATTACCGTATATACAGAGCAAAAAACATGCAGAGCAAATAACCTCACCTTAGATGTCAGTTTCTTGTTTATGTACTGGACAGAGTGTGAAAGGTATTGGGCATTTTAAACACAGCAATTAATAATTTACACTGACCCTCGCTTGGGGCCAGGCTGAAGGTTGATGCTGAGAAGTTTTCCTGCAATCTCAGAAAAAAGTGTTGGCCTTAATGTAAATAATTAAGCACACTGTGGTGGACGGACTTCAGAGAGAAGAGAGAGAGTCTGAGCGCAGAGGAAAATAAAAAAGGATCAAGATATGACTGTCACCCAAAAGGTCAGGCAATTACTAAGACAATCCCAGCACGACAGGAGATAAGACATGGCTATTGAGTCTCAGGGGGACGCTGTCACATCTCTCTGCTTAATCTAACTGGCCTTGAAGGCCTGCATGATGTAACCTACAGACCAAAACATGATTCACACATCATAGGCAAGGGCTCTGCTCTGGAGTCTGCAAACATATAGTGAGATTCTGAGAAGTGTAGACGTGACCTGACCTGGTTCAACTGAGGAGAGAGAGAGAGAGAGAGAGAGAGAGAGAGAGAGAGAGAGAGAGAGAGAGAAAGAAAGAGAGAGAGAGAGAGAGAGAGAGAGAGAGAGAAAGAAAGAGAGAGAGAGAGAGAGAGAGAGAGAGAGAACAGAAGGAAGCTATAGAGCTAGAGTACAGTTTCAGAGTGAGCAGGATGGAGGAAATGCAAAAGTTGGAGTAGACTGAGGTTAAAAGTGGATGAACATGGGTAAAACACTTTTCTGCGCTGGGTCAGCTGAGGAGAATGAAGAAGAAGAAGAAAGATAGCTGGAGTGATGGAGAAAAGGATGGAGAGTGTTTAGAGTAAATGGAAAATACAATATGGGATAAAATTAAGCCAAATAGAACAGAAAGCATGAATGAATCTGTACTGGAGAATTCTGCAGTCTAGTCTCAAAGGGGAATCATATTGATTTTTCAAAATCTCTGCATATTTTAATCAGTCAGATGTAAACAAAGTCGTTCAGAGTGGTTTGATGTGAGATGCTATGTTGTAGAGAAACTTAACAACTCAGATTTCTTTACAGTAGTGGTGATAGAAACCAGGGGTCATGATGTCTGCAGCACAAATATACAACACAAATATAAAATGTATTTACTATGCAAATTGACCAGTAAAACTGACTCCTGCCTGCAGAGTTTTGTATGTAATGCTGATATTGGTGAAATTGTGAAAAATCTGAAAAAAAAAAAAGTTCTTTGGGGATTAGTTTGCCTTACAGCAGGGGTCAGCAACATAATCCAGAGCTGCGCACAGCTCTTTTACTGCCCTGTTGCGGCTTCACAGCAGAATTAGATTTTTAGGTAAAAATGAAATAATCCTCCTTTGCAGTAAAATAAAGCTCTGCTGATCGTTCAAACACAGTTTTAACAATAAATGGTCTTAAATGCTGGAGTTAACGTAGCCTATAACTGCTAATTCACCCTTTAAACCTGAAGATCAGCATGCAGGCTGCTGGTCACACAGCGACACAGACAACAGCCTATAGTTGGTGAGATAGCTACCTAGATAGAAATAAGAATATCAAATAGCCGGCACCCTAGTATTATTCTAAATTCTTCCACTTTCGATACATCATTAGAAGAAAGCTTTCTTAGCCTTTAAACAAGGAAATGTGGCTACTGCTGCACTGCTGTAGGGGGCAGGTAGGCATATTAGTGATAGTTACATTTTTCATTTTGGCCAGAGTCTCATTTTAAGGCAGGGGTGTCAAACTCAAACACTAAAAGACCATAAAAAAATAAAAAAATAAAAAAACATGTCGGCCTGACTGGCTATTTCTTCTGCCACAATTAAACTGGCTTTTACTGCATTATCACTTTGTGATTTGCCCCTTATAAACATAGCCTACTGTGCTTCAAAGCTCTCCTTCATCTCTGCCACTGTCTGTTGCCTCTGCTGTCTTTCCAACTCTCCATATTTCTCATGGTGTTTTGTATCATAATGGTGCCTAATGTTGTATTCTTTCATTACAGCCACATTATCTCTGCAAACAAGACAGACAGGTTTATCCTTATTGGAATTAAAAAAGTATTCAAGCTCCCACCTGTCTTGAAAACCCCTGCCTTCACTGTCCATTTTTCTTTTGGTAATTTTTTAGCTAGCCAGGAGCTACTTATCGCAGCTAGTGTATTTGGTGACATGACATGTTGTTGGCAGGGGTCGGAAGTGCACATTGTGTTGCAGTGTAAGCTGGGGATTGTAGTGCAGCGCATTGGGAAACGGGCTGATATTAATAGAAATCTAAAATAATTTTGCGGGCTGCATAAGATTGTGCCGCGGGCCTGATCTGGCACATAGGCTTTATGGGGTGTATTACGTATCAAATCTACATATTCTGAGTAATAGGCTTACCAGAGAGCTGGAGCGAGTCCTTGTGTTTCTCACTCTCATCATAGGAGGACCCGTCATCATCCGAGTACGAGCGGTTAGCATCACCCTGAGGGAGGTATTAAGGAGAAATATGAGTGAAGTCGAGTAAAAAAGAAATGACTAATCATCACAAGAAGCATCACCATTGCATCCTATCATTACCACCACTGCCCCTGAAAAGCCCAGAACTGTGGTTAACATTTTAAAAGCTTTCATTTTTATCACTTCTACAATGATTCTGACATTCACAGGGAAACATCTAGTCACTGGAAAACACAAGAATATGAATCTTCTGGATGGGCTTGAGTACAGGGTATTGGTATATTTGCCATGTACTGTGAGAAGTGAGTGGGGTTGCCTTGCCTCTGCCTGAAATCCCTCTACCAGGATGGCCACCAGCAAGTTAAACAGTACATAGTTTCCAAAAGTCATGAGAGCCACAAAATAGAGAGCAGCCAGAGGTGAAGTGGAGGCCATGCCGTTATACAGAACCACATTCCAGTCTTCCTGAGTCAGGATCTACAAAGGACACACATATTCAAACACACATACACACACATTCACATCCAGACACTGAGCGATTAACTAAATACAGTACCAGTCAAACGTTTAGACACTCATGAGAGGTTTTCTTTATTTTTTCACATTTTAAACCCTTTATTGCATGTATTATGTGAGAAATAAAAATATTTAATTCACTTGCATAAAGTGGACCTGATTATTAAAATTAAAAAACATTTGCTTTTGGGGTACGTTGCCTTGAGGCAACAAAGTGCGCCAATGGAAAGAAATTATATGAAATATTTTGAAAGAAGTAAGTGAGTAAGAATATTGTTGGTTAAACTGGCTTCCAATAAAACTGGTGACATTGATAAACAGACAGTATGACTGTTACTAGGTAGCATTAACTGAAATCGGCTTCTAGCTACTAATATTGTAATACTGCAATGTTAAATGTTAAATATTAAATTTAGATTAAATTGAAATGAAATTAACACCATCAAAAATAATTCTAACAATAAATTCTAAATAATAACCTTAATGATAAATGCAGTGTTCTCTGAAGTTCTCTTTAATTCAACTTCACTCACTAATAGCTAGATCCATTCCACTGTTGCGCAATGTTGCTTCTAGGCAACAAATATGTTTCAGCAATTTTTATTGCATAAAAATCATTTACATGTTACTTAATTCTACAAAAAATTTATTTCATTCAGCGACACTGTCCAGTGTAGAAATGTGTGTTTGCAAGTTGCACCATGTTAAAATGAGTTTTACAAATATCAATAGGAGTCCGAGTGATCAAGTACAAGAAGAGTTTTATTACACACCTTTTTTTATTAAACCGTTTGTTTGTCATTAATTAATTATGTATCATGTAATTGTGAGGAAAATGTGTTTGTTACCCTAAAGCTCATTTATACTCTGTTTACATACAACAAAGAAAGTCCGTTTCAAACGATGTAACCGTCACTGCCCACATACTTCCACTCTTTACGTTGGCATGGACGTTAAGCAATACATCCACTGGAGGGCAGTCCAGAGTATAAAGTTTCTGACAGCAATGACGGTGGAGGACATCGTAATAATGTACCAACTACGAAAGAGACGAAAGAGGCACCATTGTAGACTGCAGTGGTCTGTGAGGCCATTAAATACTTTGCGAAGTGTGGGTGGAAAATTCTTTCCACCTATATTACCAATAAGAGAAACTGGCATGGTGTCTCTTGAGACTTATCACCTTCACTGCCCCGAAAGCTTCCGATGGTACTGCTCCTTTTCATCCGTATCCATGAGCTTTCGGAGACTGTGCACAAATACGGATGAAATCAACACAGAGCATGGACAGAAGGCTCCGTCCGTATCCATATCCATATTTACTGTTGATTACAAATGAGCCTTAGGGCAACACTGTGCAAGAAGGAGGAGCTGGAAAAATCAAAACTATCTTCCATTGCCTTGTTCCACACTCTTGCCATTCTCTCAAGAAGCTTTATGAGTGGGAAGTTGGAATGCTTATCCAACACTGAAGAAATTCTACATATGTTGACATCTTGCTGGCTGCTGAAAACTACTTGCTGCAAAAAGAGTTTGCATTAACTTTCAAGCCTTTATGCATTTGCTTTAGAATCAGAATGTCCAATAGAAACAAAACCACCATCATACAGCACATTCAGTCAGGTGTATCGAAATCTTTGACTGGTAGTGTTAAACCACTCTGCACTACCTGAAACACGGTGACTATGGCCCACAGCAGAGAGTCAAAGTTTTTCCTGTCCGGCACCGTGTCGCCAGCGTCCGTCTTCAGGCTGAACTTACAGCCAAATATGTGCATCCCCAGAATACTGCAGAGAGAGAGAGAGAGAGAGAGAGAGAGAGAGAGCGAGAGAGAGAGAGAGAAAGGGGGGGCAAAGAAAGACAGAGACAGTGGAGAGAAAAAGGGAGAGAAAAAGAAAGAGAGAGGGAGAGAGAGAGAAAAGAAAAAGAAAGAAAGAAGCAATATGGAAACCGAGAGGGGGAGTGAGAGAAAAAAGTGAGAAACAGAAAAAGGAAGTGGGTTTGAGAGAGGGAGCAAGAGAGAGAGAAAGAGGAGAGAAACAGAGGAAGAGATAAGTGAAATGGAAAATGAGAGGGAGTGAGAGAAAGAACAATAGCAGAGAAAGGAAAAAGTAGTGAGAGAGAGAGAGAACATAGAGATAAAGGGGGGGAGAGATAGACAGAGAGGAAAAATAGAGAGCACAAACAGACAGACAGACAGACAAAGAAAGAGGGGAGCGAGACAGTAATCTCACTCCTTTCCTCTCCCCAAAAGAGAGTCATTCAGTGTGTGCGTGTGTGGAGCTGCAGTGAGCTGAGTGTGTGTGTGAGCTGCGGTGAGCTGAGTGTGTGTGTGGAGCTGAGTGTGTGTGTGGAGCTGCGGTGAGCTGAGTGTGTGTGTGGAGCTGAGTGTGTGTGTGGAGCTGCGGTGAGCTGAGTGTGTGTGTGTGGAGCTGAGTGTGTGTTGTGTCTGTTAGATAAATGTTCAGGCTGTGTTTCTGTTCTTCTGGATTTCTGGGTCAGCGTGACTGAACTGGTGGAGGAAAGAGAAGAAATACACACACAGCAGAGATACACACTGTCAGAGATACACACACCTTCAGGTCCGTGTGTGTGTGTGTGTGCGTGTGTGTGCATGTGTGTGCGTGTGTGCCCCATGCACTGAGACAAATGGAGAAGAACATGTACTCCATCTGTCTTCATAGCTCACACAGACACTGCACTCTCTCTCTCTCTCTCTCTCTCTCTCTCTCTCTCTCTTTCCTCATCTCATCTGTTTTCCTGTCCTGCTTGCTCTTCTGCTATATCTCATCTGTCCCATAGCTTCTGTTCCTACTCTCGCTCTTTCTCTCTCTGCCCGTCTCTGTCAGGATTTACTGGATTATTAGTAATCAATAAAGGAAACATTGAAAAAAGGTTTGAAACAACTTTCAATTATTAATCAATAATAATTGGTCGGTGCTGCTCCTCTGGCTTATACATCTACATGTTTTTTCAGTGATCAAATCACATTCGGATTTCACTTCGTCCCATGAAACGCCAGGTAATCATGTCCAGTACACATTGAGAGAAGATTCCGGTCAATGCACTTTCAGAGGCTGATCCAGGGACGGATCTTGACCACGTTTAACCCAAGTGTAAATGGAATGTATGTTCATTTTCCACATACAATTATGCAAGTGGAAATGTGTCTGATGAGCGCTGACTAACAGGTGAGCAACAAGGAAACAAAAGATGAGGATAGATGGTAGATAGATGATAGACGAAAGGACACATGGGCTCTGGAGTTTCATGCATTTCGGGCCAACGAAAGCATCCAGGCCAAGCTTGTTCACACTCATTTCGAAACGGGAAAAAAGTTCAAAGTAAAACAGAAACAGTGTACGTGTTGATGAGCTTTTAACGTGATAAATGCCAATGCAATGTGTAAACAGGCTATCTGTCTGTCTGTCTCTCTTTTTCTGCTCTCTCTCTGTCTCAACCTCTCTCTTTCTGTCTTTCTCTTTCTCTCTCTTGCTGTAATTGATTTAAGGATGTGGAATGTCTCAGAAAGGCTCCATCAGATTTAAGCAGCAGGTCTTACATTACACCTGCTGTCTCTCTCTCTCTTTGTCTCTCTCTCTCACACACACACACACACACACACACACACACACACACACACACACACACACACACACACACAGACCTGAAAATGAAGATGAAGAGCATTAGGAGCATGCAGAAAGTAGCCACGTTGTCCATTGTCTTCATCAGCACCACCAGCTGCCGGCGCAGCGCCGGCATGAAGCGCACCAGCTTCAGCACACGCAGCAGCCGGAATGTCCTCAACACCGACAGACCACCATCGGACTGACCTACAATCTCACATACACTACAGGGAGAGAAAGAGAGAGAGAGAGAGAGAGAGAGAGAGAGAGAGAGAGAGAGAGAGAGAGAGAAGAGAATAAAGAGAAGGAGACATAGGAAGAAACAACAGAGAGAGAAGGAGAGAAAGAGAGAGAGAAAGAAAGGGGGGGCAGAAAGAGGGGAAAGAGAAAGAAACAGAAGAGAAAGAGGAAGAGAGAAACAGAACAGAGATAGCAAGAACAGAGAGACAGAAAGAGAACAGAGTGAGAGATAGATAGAGAGAGAGCAAAGAGAGAGAACAGCAAGAAAAAGAATAAGGAGAGATGTAGAAAGAAAGAACAGAGAGAGAGGAGAAGAGAGAGCGAGAGAGAATGGGAGTTAGAGTGTATTTGCATGTAAGAAAAAGAAGGTTATGTAGATGTAGAAAAGGACAGAAAGTATTAAGAAGTAGAAAGAAAGTAGACATGCATTATATATATATATATATATATATATATATATATATATATATATATATGTATATATATGGAGAGGGAGAGAGAGGGAGAGAGGTGGAATTACATTACCTAGCATAAAGAAAGTGTGCAGGAAGGCAGGGAAGAGAGAGATAGAATATGGACACTGATTAAATGTATTGATTTTAGAGCCAAAAAATACAGCCAAAGGGAAAACTGAATCTCTTAAAAATTCATGAATGTGTTACTGCAGCCTCTGCTGTCTGTCCACTGTCCACTTGTCCGTTCCAGACTCAGAGAGGTGGAAACCGTCCACACACACAAACATGTTTGGAATGCTCTGACTCAACATTTTTTTTTTAATAATGAATGTGATCTAATCTAATTACTCAGAATCAATGTTGAAAATTGGGTTTTAATAGCGAAGCATGGCCGAGCAGTTCACTTCAGTTCTGTACTGATTTCAAGCTGGATAATGAACTGACCGCTAGTCAGCTGCAAAGACCACTTTGTACAGCAAATCTGAGTAGAGAGTTGTGGAATGAGGCTCAGGTGAGCTAGGCAAGTCTAAACTAGCCATTATTTCCAAATATATATACCACCTGAAAGAACAGGGATGGTAAAGAGGAAGGGAAATTTTTAGAGAAGGGGTGGTCTGTCCTCACTGTGGGCTTGCTTGTTTAATTTTTATAACACAGTACTGTACACTGTTAGAAATAAAGGTGCTGTGCAGGTACATCTCACATTCATCAAGGTACAAACAATGTAAATGTTCCCTCAAAGGTACTACAGTGGTTTTAAGGTCTAGTTTTTCCAGGTGAAAAGTATGTATTTGTGGCTTTTCATAACCTAATATTTTAAAACAGAACAATAAAATAAAAAGCCTGGAGACGAGACGGGGTGTGTGGAATCAATACAACTTAGAACAAGTGGGGTCAATAATTTCAATGGTACAATTATGTTTCCTGACTAAAGGTGCTGAGATGTACCCTTGAGGGTGCCACCCCAGTGACAAGAGGGGTCCTGCCCCAGTGATAGTTTAGTACCTTTTTTTCTGAGAGTTTATTGTCAGAGAAATTCAGTAAAAACAATTATTAAGGTTATGTAATATAATTATTTAATTATATAATTAAGTTATTCATTTGTCAACATCACGAAAAAAAATTCCATTCTGAGATTTTGACAGATTTGCTGTCAGATTTTCAAAGATGGGATTGTGTACTTTATTTGTTTTAGTCTTTTGAATGCATTGTTTGATGCCTATGCCTATCGAGAGGCTTGTAGTGAAGGATATACTGTGATATGCTGTATTTAACTTTTCTCTTTTTTTCAAGTCAACATAGGTTAATGGAGACTGTACTTACCTGATGATGACGATGATGCCGTCGAAGATATTGTAGGGGTTGCGCAGGTAGTTGAAGCAGCCAAAGGCGGTGAGCTTCAGGATCATCTCCAGGGCGAACATGCTGGTGAAGACAATATTGCAAATTTCCAGAACGTTGGTCAGCTCTTCTGGCTGAGAAAAAGAACAAGATAATCGCAGGTCAGGAGAAAATAGTCACTAGTAGTCAGTAGTCAGCCTTGAACCTACAAACTACATGTGCTCATTTTTACAACGACACAACCTGAAACTGGAATAAAAGGTTAGTTACCGGACTGTGAAAAAGCATATGTTACATAAGCATATGTTGTTATATAACCAAAACTTAATATTAAACAAAGAGAACATTTACAAAAACGTATCCAACACCAACTGGCCGTGTGTGAAAAAGTATTTGCCCCCTTACTTACTTCATCAACCAATGAACCAATTTTAGTTGATGACTGGGATTGATTACACTAGACACACTCAGCTTGATAGGCCCTTTTCACATTTCTGCATTTTTTTCATTCATTGCAGGGTAATGCTGCTTCCGCTAAAGCCGTTACAATAGCAACAATGATGAGTTGAGCATGTATAGCTCACTCAAGTATTAGCGCTTGAAGCAAAAACAGCCTTACCTCAGTTTTAATGGTTTGTCAGCTGACAATGAGCGAAGGAAAAATTAGTTTGTGCAATTAGTAAAGGAATAAACTTTGTCATATGGAGTGAAAGAACGTCTATGTCAGCATTTCACCGCTGCTGACTGACATTATTTTCACCTATCCATCGATTTATCACTCTGTAGATGTTAGCTGACGTTACTGTGCCCTGATAGCTGTAAAGGGGTTTTTCCATGAATCATTTATATCCTTTATTTAGTTTGGACTCCTGCACTGTCGTGTGTTTGGTTCTCCAACAGTTCTGGACACATCCTCGAATTTCAATCAAAATAAAATGAGACACTTTTCTGTGGTGAGCTGAAGTAATGTGAATGCCTGTATTTCTGAGGTTAGTAACTGTCCATAAGGCAGTAGCGGAACTTGTTTTACCCAACGTTTACGCACTTCCGTTTCTTGTGAAAAGGGTCTATTACCGCCAGCCCTGTTGAATCAAAACATCACTTAAATAAAATGTTTCCAGCTATGTGAGGGAGGCTAAATGGTCTCAACAAGCAGCACATTATGTAGCTATCAAAAGAAATTCTGAAAGAGGTGAGAAAATTAGTTATTGAAATATATCAGCCTGGAAAAGGTTACAAAGCCTTGTCTAAGGCTCTGGGACTCCAGCAAGCCACAGTGAGAGACATGATCTCCAACAGGAGAAAACTTGGAACAGTGGAGAATCTTCTCAGAAATGGCCGGCCCACCAAAATTCCTCCAGGAGCACAGTGATGACTCCACAAAGAACACAAAGAACCCTGATGAACATCTAAGGAACTGCAGGCCTCGCTCACCTCAGATAAAGTTAGTAATTAGTATTCCACTGTTAGAAAGAGACAAAATGGGCAAAAATGGTATCAATGGACGAGTTGCAAGTCAAAACCACTGCTGACCAAAGGGGAATATTAAGGCTTGTCTCACATTTGTCAAAAAAACACCTTGATGACCCCAAGCCTTTTAGAATAATGTTCTGTGGACTGAAGAGTAACTTAACATCTGGCCTAAAGCTAAAACAGCATTTCACAATAAGGGCATTACACCAACAGTTAAACATGGTGGTGGCAGTGTGATGGTGTAGGGATGCTTTACTGCTCAGGGCCCGGGCAACTTGCCTAAATTGACATAACCATAAATTCTACTATCCACAAGAAAATTCTGCAGGACAATTAATGTGATAAATACACAAAAACAGAGGAATCAGACAGGTGCAAATATTTTTTTTTCCTTGCATTATATAGCTAAATTACAGTCATGTCTGCGCAGCGTGCAGCATCAATGCTAGGTCAGTTTTTTTTTTTTGAATATTTTGAATGGTTCCTCTTCCACACAGTACTCTACTTCTGCTTTTAACAATGTCAGCATCAGCGTAAGCAAAAAGTATGTGGACACCTGACCATCACACCTATATGAGCACATCCCATTCCAAAATCCTGGGTAATAATATGGAATTGCCCCCCTTTGCAGCTATAACAGACTCCACTCTTCTGGAAAATATTTTAACAACATTTTGCAGTGTGTCTGTGGGAATCTGTGCCCATTCAGTCAAAAGAGCATTTGTGAGGTCAGGTACTGATATTGGACGGGAAGGCCTGGCTCACAATAGAAGTTCCAATTCACACCAAAGGGGTTCAGTAGTATTAAAGTCTGTGCTCTGTGCAGAAGTTCTGCCACACTACAGTCATTAAACCATGTCTTCATGGGGCTCGCTTTGTGCACAGGACCTTAAAGTTGGAAGCATGAAATTGTCTAAAATGTATTTTTATGCTGCAGCTTAACATTACCTTTCACCAAAACTAGAACTGTTAGCATTGGATATGGCTGATGCATGAACTTAATAACTAGGAGGGACATTTTTGGCCACATTGCTTAGCTTATGTTAGTTACTGAGCCACAGAGTCTGGAGCCAATCTACGCATCATAAACATTTAGCTGCATGAAATTTAAAAAATGATTGTACGGGCTAGATTTAAGAACACTGTAAATATATGATGGGCCATATAAAGTTGTTCTTCCCTACTTTAGCTAACTAATGAGCCTGCAGTTTATGGGCTATGTATAAACTAACTGTCAACCTGCTCATTTTAAACCATTACGACCAGGTTGATCTACTCCCAAAACACAGTCACGACCTTTTTATGGGGAAGAAGACCTTTTGAAACAAATTACCTACAATGCGAAAGCCAAACTTTTCTCATTAACTCTCAACACAGCACTTGAAACCCTTTTTTTTCTTTGCGAGCCGGAGGAAAATTACACCAGATATCCGCAATGAGCAGAACTAGTTTGCGAATAAATTGACCCTTGAAGAGAAGTTGTCACCATTAGGCCAGCTTAGCAGAGGAAGAGAGAGAGGAAACCTGCGAACTGGAGAAAACTGAATCACTGGGCAGAACACACAGCCTTCAAGGAGAGAAAGAGAGAGAGAGAAAGAAAGATGGCACAAAACACATGTCTAAGAAAAATGACAATAATCCTCTTTAATTACTGCTCTAAAGCTGCAGGCTCGGACAAACACACACACATAGACGCGGCGCTTTCAGGCAGTGTGCTTGTAATAAGCTTTTCATTACTGTGAACGTGTCAGACTCTGTTGAGTAGAATACTCCTCTCAGCAGATGTGCTGGGTTATTAGATTACTGTGTGCGTGAGGAAACAAAAGGAAAGGGGCTAAAAAATAAACACATACACACAAACGTGGCTTCAAAAGTGGCAGGGACACTCATTTCTTCTCAGAAATAGACTGAAGGAGAAAAAAACAAGGCTTTATGTTGCGGTATCGGAGCTTTCGTCTCCATCTCCCTCCCTCTTCCTCTTTTTCTCTTCCTTTGTGTGGTTATCGGGCAATTCAATCTCGCTGCAATCAATGCCCTCTATCGATCAGACAGAGCCGTGGTTTAACAGTGTCACAATGCGCCCTCACACACACACACACACACACACACACACACACACACACACACACACACATATTTGAGAACTGATGACAGACGACGGAATAAGAGGTTTAAAAAAGGAAATATTAAAAAACAGGTTTTGTTTAAAGAAGACGGCTACTATTGTTGGTCTTTACTCCACTATTAAAGAAGAAATCCACAATTTTTTTCAAAATTATAGCACAATTAATTGAGAATGTGATTATAAATAAAGTCATTCAGAGTGGTTTGATGTAAAATGTTTTCTTGTAGAGAAACATGTAGATTCTAATTTCTCTACAGAGGTGATAGGAACCAATATTATGCATGTACCTCTCCATGAGAAAAGTCTTCTCAAAACTTTCTCAAAACTACTGTGTTTCAGGCGTCAGGCACTGCATTCACATCAAATCCATGTAATACGTTTCTGCAAGCGAGCTTCTACAGGCATTAAACTCTTCAGACGTCTGGTTCCATTAACCACCACTGTAAACAGTTCTGACTCTGGAAGTTTCTTTAGAACAGAGCATTTCACTCTAAACTACTCTGAATGGAAAACAAATAATGAAATTTTCTGTAATGTCAGTTTTCTATTATTAACTATTATTCAAATTAGTCAAGGGATTCGATTCAGTTTAACAAACTGATTCTTTTGAAGTGTGCATTTCAGTGAATGAGACATTCAATGATTCATCAATTTCCAAGTCATATCAACTGAATCATCACTCCCTCCATATATAACAAGTGGCTGTAAAGGACTTAACATTCATATGTTAAAGTTTCCATTTTCAGTTTATTTCATTCCGCATTAGAAAACTACAATTTGTGGCATGTGGCGCAACTGTCTAAGCGTTGGCCCTATGATCAGGAGATTATGAGCCACAAGGCCTGATCCTAGATCTGTAAAGTAAAGGGAAGTATTCAGACACTTTACGCATATTTTTGCTTCTGCTTATGACAAAATACTTTTTGGTTTACATTCATACAAGTAAAAAGACATTATGTATGTAAATATGAAGTGGATATATGCACTGGAAGTATACTGTATCAGCAGACCAGCTCTTGTGTTTTTTGTGATCTGAGTTCAGAAGAAAGAGAAATAGAGAGCCCTTCAGAAATATTGTTTATTTTCTCTCTTTCTCTTGGTCTGTTTTTTTTTTTTCCATTGTTTTAAACATCTTGGCAGAGAAAGTACAACACTGCAGCTGGTGAAGGAGCAGCAAAGAAAGAAAAGGTTGAGTGATGCTGGTAGAGACAAAGAAGGATGGAGGTGTATGTGTGTGTGTGTACTTTTCTGAGAGTGTTTTAGTGGGTGGTCCCAGGGGAGGGAGCAGGTGGGCTTGTTTGCTCTTTCTTCATCATGCACAAATCCACTTGGAGACTTTTACAATCAGGGGAATGGAGTGCCTGTGTGTGTGTGTGTGTGTGTGTGTGTGTTTACCTGCTCGTGATGTTCGATGCCCATGCTGATTGTGTTGATAAGAATGGCGATCATGATTCCTCTGTTGAAGTATTTGCTCTCTACGATTCCCCACAGCTTGATCCTCATCTCCATCCACAGCTCCTTACACTTCCCTTTACACGCCCCCTCATCTTTCTTCTCCTCTGATTGGCCGCCCTGCTCATCCGTCTCCTCCACTGTACCCTCTTCTGATTCCTCATTGGCTGGCGTGCCAACAGGTCCCGCCCCATCGCTGAGTGAAAGAGCCATGGCGCACTGAGGGCAGTCCTCAGAACCAGGTGGCACGGGCGGAGCAGGAGAGCCTTCAGTAGGGGTGTGGTCAGGCTTAATGTGATGTGGACAGTGGGGCACTATAAAGGGATAAGCATGTCAATACAAATTGACACTTTCCACCAGCTAAACCTTCTGTATTTCTATCTACTTATCCATTCTTTTCTTCAGACTACTATCCATCCATCCATCCAACCATCCATCCATCCATCCAACCAACCATCCATCTTCTTTTCCTGTCTATTCAAGTACATTGAATTTTTATTTTTATAGCTATTTTTAAAACAAATGTTGCCACAAAGCAGCTTTACAGAAATCCAAATTGATCTTGCCATCCTTCCAACTCTTGATCCATCTCTATATTTCTTCATCCATTCATTCCAATTTCTATCCACCTCTACTTCCACCCTTTCATGCCTTCTTCTATTTAGTCCACTCACGCACTTATCCAGGCATATATCCAGCAAATCACCCACCAGAATACGAGGACTCAAGTCTGTTGAGCTGAGCACTCTGGACTGACTCACGACTTGCCCTTCACTTCAACTTGACCCAGTTAAATTAGGTTATAAAAGTAGGTCTAGATCAAATCAGGCCATCAACCTTAATGCATTAAATGCATGAAAACTTTCATTTCCAATCTGAAGTGTTTGACTTTACCTGTCAGTTTGCTACAGTTATGCACAGTCATTACTGCAATACATTCGCCCACAGCTTGCATCAGGTTTGATACGGCTTCAAATAAGGAGTCTTTCATAACAGAAAAAAAGCTTTCTGTATATTGGACAAAACAAAGAGCTACATGCAGTAATTGTGGTGTTTAATTGAAGTAGTTTGGATAGAAAGTGTGCTGAATAGTGCAATAGCTAATTTAGCTGAAGCTGTGACTAAGTTTTAGTACATTGCAGGTCACATTTCTTTAATAAGTTGTGAAACTTAAGGTGAATTTGCTCAAACTAGCTATATAGCTAACTACCTAGCATACTTATACATATAGCGATATGAGCCAAAGCCTTACCATGCTAGATAGCTAGCATTATAGCTAATCCAGCTGAAGTTAGAAAGTTATGAAGACATTTGATCTGTAACTTACTAAAACTTAGCAACAGCTTCAACTAAATTAGCTATTGCACTTTCATACTTTCTATCCAAACTACTTGCTAGCCAACTGTTTTAAACTGTTTTACCTTAGCTTGCTTACACTAGCCACATAGTATGCTTGCAATACACACTGCAGACTAGCCAACTGTCTAGCCAAACGTTGTTTTTCTTCTTTCCTTTAAGCACTGCATTTACAGTGTGTTGCGCATGTAGCTAATAACAACACTAAAATAAAATTATCTACTGAAGACTCAACAGTCAACTCAGACTCACATAAAGTGGCTTGAGAACTTCTCTGCCACCCACTCATTTATTCTTCTTCTATCCATCCATCCATCTTGACCTTCATCTGACATTCCTACTTTTGTCTTTCTTTACCCTGCTAGAAAAACCAGAATAGACCAGCATTTGCTGGACCAGCAAAACCAGGATGTGGTATGTTTTGGATGCTGGTCAAGACCATGCTGACCAGCACCATACCAGCATATACCAGCTTAGACCAGCTTCCAGTACCTCAATCCACTCATCAATACATGCACTAATCCATCCGATACTCCATCCTTCCACCCACTCATTCACCCACACTTGTACTCACCCACCTCTCTCACCTTGATGGTGTTTTTGTACCCTCTCTCCACCGTTGATGTTGGCCCCACCCCTTTGTGTTCGGGAGGGTGTGAGTTCTCGAGGGTGACGTCGGAGGGCCCTAAAGAGGGCGACGGAGCGACGACGGGCCTTTCGCAGCACGTGGCAGACCAGCTGGAAGAGCTCCTCATAACAGTCCCCCGGCTCGGCCAGCGAGGCCAGCGTGCTGGACGAGAGACAGGCTGCTCGCTGCTCCTGCATCAGCTGGTGCTCCCGCTGTTTCGTCTCAGAGAACTGAGTCGCTATGACTACCAGGCACAGGTTGATCATGAAGAAGGAGCCCACCTGTCAAAAGTGTTAGAAATGAAGAAACAATGACAGCGTGAGCGAGAGAAAGAGAGCGCACAGGTGTGTGGGACAAAAAGAAAGTGCGAAAGTGAAAACAGTGTAGACAAGACAGTCAAGGACAAACAAGTAAGGACAAAATATCTGGTCAGGAGACTTCTGTACATTTTTCTTGTCCGCTTAGAAAGTTTGGCTGCAAAGACGTATTTACATCCCGACAACCAGGAACAGCACAAAGCAGAACTGTTCTCCCCACAGTTACCACCAGAGATGGGGACTTGAGTCTGTAACTTAGACTCAAGTAATTGCTTGGTGACCTGCAGTTCGACTCAGACTTGTCTTAGATGCACGTTTAACCCTTTAAAATCCCAGGCTTATTACATACTAAGGCTTATTATTCAGTAACTACAGGGACTTCATCGGGTACCCACTGCTTGCCAGCCTTCTGGACTGCTTCAGCCTTCTGGATAGTTTCAAGCTTCTGGACCGTTTCAACCTTCTGGACCGTTTTGACCACCATGGAGCTTCACGCTGTACAACGCTGACCCTCCTGATGATGCTGCTGCTGTCTTATTAACAATTGCTCCACCTGTTTTCCCCATTTTGTATTCTAATATTTTATACTAATGCTGTTTGCTATCCAGTGTCAACCAGAGGAGGATGGGTTTCCCTTTTGAGTCTTGGTTCCTCTCAAAGTTTCTTCCTCTTAGGGAGTTTTTCCTTGCCACTGTCGCCATTGGCTTGCTCATGGGGGCTTGGACCCAAATTTTTCTGTAAAGCTGCTTTGTGACAACACCTGCCAAGGGGCCCTGGCCATTTAAGGGGTTAAGGGGTGACCAGCGACTCGATTCAGAAACACACTTAAGTGACTTGTGATTTGACTCATGATGAGTCAAAGAATTTCAGTCAGACAAAAAAAAAAAATGTATGACTTTACCTTTCAGTTTCACTTCCTTCGTGAGCAGTGTTGGGGTTTGAAGGCAGCGAATTATGGCTATTGTAGTGAATTTATGTAATTACCTTGGCAACTACCGTCACTGCCATGAAGCAATATTCTTTTCTCTTTGGCAGAAAGTGCTGAAACTTGGGGGGTTTTACCCAAGATTGGCAGGAAAGTTAAACTCACTCTGGCCCTGGAGTTAGCTATGGAAAAAGCTCCCCTGAGTCGTTGTGATCACAGCCTGAAGACAGAAATCAGTAAAGGTAAACAGCAGTAATTACTCTAATGCTGGACTCATCACAGCTTGCAGTAGCATTAGGTTTGATAAGGCTTTAAATAATGAGTCTATCATTATAGAAAAACCTTCAGTCTGAAGAACAGAACTGAAGGACTACAATGCAGCAGATGCAAAGTTTAAAGAGACAAAACCAGCTAATTTATCTTTAGTTGTTAGCCAAAGTTTTAGTAACTTATAGATCACATTCCATGCAAACTTCCTAAAACTTTAGGAGGATTAGTTATTACATCAGCTAGCAAGCAAACCTACAAAGAACAGATATAATGACCATATCACATCGTTTTACCTCTTTAAGCCAGGCATATACTGTGCTATTTTAGAAATCATGTTCTTTGGTGACAACTCTGTTCGTTTGAATGACCCATCATGTACAGCAAAGCCTGCGATTTATATGCTCACACTGTACAAAAACACTCGGTCCGACTGACATGACACAACATGGGAGCTCACACGCCACATAAAATATAGCCCTTACCGTCAGCTCTGTCTACAGACAATTTCCAAGAAAGTTGATTTATTCAAAACGACATGCTGCAGGTCCGAGTCCCAAGCAAAAACACTGGCTGAATCTCAAATGACTCCCTGCACCCTACATAGTGCACCACATAGACATTAAAACAGTGGCTTCTGCAGCCATTCAAGCATCACATGTCAAATGAATAGCCATTTGGGGTTCAGTCATGGGTGCACAATTCCATACTGGACAAACAGTGCACTATTTTGGTGTAAAAGCCAGAGCTTGTATAGTGCACTACATAGGAAGGAGGGGGGCTTTTGAGATTCAGCCACTGACAGACAGTTTTATAAAGAAAATAAAAATCACCGCATTTATTTATTCATATTTCACAATTCAATTCAGTCAAATGGAGCAAAGTTGGCATATGTGGACGATGGTACCCAAAATGTTGACCTTTTTGCCTGTTTGTATGTGTTCAACTGTGTAGGATCAGCGACTGTGATTGAAGAATCAGTTTATGAGACGGCTCAAACTGTGGGTTAAGTGACCAAAATTTCTGATATGTCAGAAATCTGTCTGATTGTCCGACTGCTCAATCGAAGCTTGTTTGGTTAATCAGGCATTGCTGGCCCTCTCACACTGCATGGCAAACAATGACCAATGAAGCTGAAATAGCCCAATCAAGAAATTCAGTCAGCTCCAACCAATTCAGGCTTAAAAATGGGCTGACAAGTGATTCAAAGCATCTCTGAAACAGCAGAGCTTGTGTAGTGGTCCCTGGGCAGCAGTGATGAGTACCTACCAACAGCGGTTCGAGGAGGGACAAACCACAAAGTCAGAGATATTTTTAATGATGGTTACGGGAGGAACATGTTACAACACACAGTGCATTACACCCAGTTGCATAAGGGGCTGCGTAGCCACACAATGGTCAGTGTGCCCATGATGACCCCTGTCCACCATCAAAAGCAGCTACAATGTGTGTATGAGCATCAGAATTGGAACTATGAAGCAACGGAAGAAGGTCATCTGGTCTGATCAGTCCCATCATCTTTTACATCACATGAATGGCCAGGTATGCGTGCACCATTTCCCTAGGAAAGTGATGAAACCAGGAAACACTGGGAAGAGAAAGAGAAGCTGGTAGAGAGAGTATGATGCACAGGGTACTGTTCTACAGGGATACCCTGGGTCCAGGCATGGTAACCACCGGTGGCATTTTTCAGGTGGATAATTCTCCCTGACACACTCCACACTTTGATCAGGAAATGGGAAAGCTTAAGGTATTCCCCTGACCTCCAAATTCCCCAGATCTTAATCCAATTAATCATCTGTGGGATGTGCTGGAACAACAGGTCTGATCTGCGGCAGCTCTACCTCTCGACACAGAAGACCAACAGCGTATTAGGCAGAGGATCATAATGTTTTGGCTCATCGTAGTATATAATTGTGTTTGTGGTTGTGACATCACTGTGCGGTCTGGGAATAGAACTGTACATTTTCAAACTTTAACAATGTACACAGTTCATCAAACTCTTCTTCTTTTTTTTTTCTAAAAAAGGCTTGAATAATTTAGACTTTCATCAAATGGGCCAGTAAGAATAAGAAGAATGATAAGAGCCCCCGGGGTGGAGGTCTTGAATGAGAGGAGTGATAAACTACCTTTACAACAAATTTTTACTTTTTGTGCTTGAAATCATCCCTCTCCATCTTGGATAAGCAGAGACTGCCAGACCGACTGTCTCTCTCTGCCACCCACTCACACGCATCAGCAGCAATGTCACGGAGCTCGGACAGAATCCTCGACAGGTTCATTACAGGCCCTGCAGAGGCCAAAGCACTGTTCTCTTCTTTGCCCAAAACACTGAAATTAGAATGGCTGACTAAATCCACACCACTACCTCTTCACCCGAAGGCCTGTTCAAGTGCACTGAAACAAGTGCGCCTTTGCAAAAGTCCAACTCTTAAGTGTACATACATACATTTTCCCGCTTTTTAATTGTTGCATATTATTCATGCTTGTTTCAGATCTTTAAGCAAATCTTAATGTAAGATCAAGACAACCTGAGGAAACACAAAATACAGTTTCTAAATGATCATTTCATTAATTGAAGGAAAAAAAAAATTGTCCAACATAAACAGACCCTGTGTGAAAAAGCTATGGCCCCTTCATTACTCAATTGACTAATTATTCAAACTTGGTTGATAACTGGTATCAATTAATCTAGACATGTCTAGGCTTGATTACTGTCAGCCCTATGTAATCTAAACATTACTTAAATAGAATGTTTTTTAGCAACATGAGCTCTAGAATTTCTAGAACAGACGAAAAAGCAAGTTATTGAAATATGTCAGTCTGGAAAGGGTTACAAAGTCATTTCTAAGGCTCTGGAACTCCAACAAACCACAGTGAGAGCCATTATTTCCAAATAAAGAAAACAATGAGCAAAGTTGAATCTTCCTGGAAATGGCTAACCTACCAAAATTCTTACAAGAGCGGAGCGACAACTCATTCAGGAAGTCACAAAAGAACATAGACAAAGAACTGCAGGCCTCGCTCATCTCAGATAAGGTCAGCATTTATGATATTACCATTAGAAAGAGACTGGGCAAAAATAGTATCCATGGGAGAGTAGCAAGACAAAACCCACTGCTTACCAATGGGAACATAAAGGCTCATCTTACAGAAAACACAAGCCTTTTGAATAATTCTGTGGACTGACAAGTGAAAATGGAACTTTTTTCCTGTTACATCTGGCATAAAGCTAACACAGCATTCCACAACAGGAACATCATACCAGCCGTGAAACATGGTGGTGGTAGTGTGATGGCGTGAGAGTGCTTTGCTGCTTCAAGGCCTGGGCAACTTAGGAAGCAAGTTAGGTAGTTAAGTTAGGCAGCAACACAGCATTCCGAAGCACAAGAGCAAGTCCACCACCACCAGTGACTCAAAAGAAACAAAATAAAGCTTTTGGAGCGGCCTAGTCAAAGTCCTGACTTGAACCCTACTGAGAAGCTGTACCAGTACCTCAAACAGGCAGTTCATGCTTGAAACCCCTCCAATATGTCTGAACTAAACCAATTCTGCAACATTAGTGGGCAAAAAATTGTTGAATGAAAGACCGATCTCCACTTATATGATTTGGTTGCAACTGTTGCTGTTAAAGGTGGCACAACTATTGCTACTTTGTAGTTTGAAGCTGGCACTGTCCTATTATGTAAACTGAAAGCGTAAGGCAAAAACTGGTCCACTGCTGGGATACTAGCATCATAAATAATACCCTAATAACACACTAAACACTGCT